AATTAAAAAATGGCCATGCAATTAATGTTAACCCAGGATGGCAATGTCCGAATTGACCCAAAACTGCTGCAATTTAGGTCTGCTTTATGCCTCTAATGAATTATAATATTCACATCGAACACTCATAAATACTTAATCCAATTCTTCTTTATAACTTAAACGAGATCTGTTTTTATTTTTCCCAGAAATGTATAAATCTGTTGTTTTCATTAATCTTATTTATATAAGAGTTTGCCAGTAGAGAATGGATTAACTAGCTGAAAATATGTAGTGACTCACATTTATCACGAGAACACGACTGGTTTAATAAAAACAATTATTATTATAACCAATTGTACAAGTGCTTGTTTTAATGTGCTTTTGTTTGACTGTGCTAATGACAGCTATATTGTGCTTCCATTCTTATTCATACACTTCGATAGTAAATTCTCGCGAATTCGGTTACGTTCTGTAACCAAGCTTGTATCCTGGCTCGATATCGGTTTCCTTTCGATGCCACGAGATCGCCAGCGAATGCGTCTCGATTTGGTCAATTAATTTCCTTCTGATATTTGGCTTCTCCAGGATTTTATGGAATCGTTTGGAACGAGCTTCTTGGTAGTGGTGTTCATAGTCAATAACCACTCAGCGCTAAGCTACAAATGTTTCTTTTTTAATGTTTTACTTTTTATGCGTATATTTTATAAAATCAGGTAATCTAGATTATAGACCAACTCGATCTGTAGCTCTTTTAGAGTTACTGCCGGTCCCAAGCACGGGTGAAGCGAGAGGGTTGGGCATGGGATCAACAACCACATCCTGTAGAAACAAATCTTGCTAAAATAACGCAAACCAGATGTAAAAATTAGATCATTCAAACTCTATCCTCCGAGTTTAAGGAAGAATAATGACACCTCGGGATGAAAGCCAAGATTATTCGGAAGTCACGAGCACGATGGGCCTTCTAACAACCAGACCAGCAATTTTCATACGTACACGGAATGTTCGAACAATGTGGGAGTTTGAGTGGAAAAGATTAGATAAGAAAACATCATGTGACGACATGGACTGAGAGATGGGAACGAAAATAGTGAGGGATTTGTGAACTTATGTGCATTCATCAACTCGGATGTAGGTGTCATATTATTCCCACACAAAAACATATGGATTGTAGTATGTGATCGATAAATGAACTCACCAATCATAAAGTGAAACTCCCACAACCACATTAACTTTCCTTGACTTTGTATGACTACATTTTGTTTATTCACTAATCACAATTTTATGTTCATTATAAAACAATACTCGCCTTATTGACTCATTTTTCCTATTCTCTAGTTACTCTTCGGTATGTTCAGTAGGCTGTACCGATTATTTTGTATACTAACGGTGTTAATTTATGTTTTGGAAACAGGTAAAATTTATCAAGCAAAATAGCTTATTTGTTCCGACTTTGGCTACACCAAGACTCTGTACTCGACAGTGTAGAGAATAGCTTAGAGTTATACCTGTAGGAAATTGCTTTCTACATGGATCTCACCGAACCACACTACGGAGAACCAGATAGATCATGTTTGTATCAAAAAACAATCCAGGTGCTCAATGGAAGATGTGAGAACCAGGAGAGGAGCTGACATGGCTTCTGGCCACCACGTGGTTGTGGCCAAGATGAAAGTGAAGCTAAAGAAACATTGGACAGCTAGGTAAACAGTGCATGGTGCATGGAGGTCAGCTGACAGGTGCATTTTGAATGAGGATTGGAGTCAGAGAGGACTGTGTACTACCTCTTTTTCCCTATCTTCTGGTGGTCGACGGGATTATGAAGACCTGAAAATCTGAGCGGAAGCACGGATTACAATGTATAGCTCGGAATCAGTTAGAAGATTTGGCCTTATTAGATGAGCTGGTCTTCTATGACATTCACATCAACAAATGAAGATGAAGACAACTGGTGTAGCAGCAGTCTGCATCAGTAAACCTTAACATACACAAAAGAGAATGCAAGATCTGTAGAATTATGATCTTCTATGACAAAAGTACTGCTCTAATAATAGACCCAATCCTATCATTGTAGATTTGTCACGATATAACTGTTTAATCTACAAGATCTTACGTGGAAGTCACATCATCGTCTACACCAACTCACCGTATCGTAACAAATATCAATACATGATAGAGAACAAGCTTGTGCTAGAGAAAGAACAATATATTTGATATGAATAAAAGATATAAGGTAACATTTCGCATGGATCACTCCTGCATGACTGAGCCATGACGTGCTATCAAGTTCAATTCATTCAACTCATTGTTCCCGCCTTTTTCATCGTTAGTTATTTCTCCGCGTTAAATACTGATTTGTGTTTTCCGAGTAGTTTCGTGTTCAGCTTTGAGGATTGTGTGGTTATGGTCTAATGTCACTACAAACTAAGCAAGGTTCTATCACAGCTACAATCAGTTGCCTTAATTTATCAAATAAGGCCTCTAGTCCATAGAATTTATTTCTTAGGGAGAACAGCCTATCCACAAATGCCTTGGTAGCATTCGCTTCAAAGACCTGATTATTCGGAAACACGCTTATCGAAGTTTTTCCCCATCTTGCCGACGGGTTTCTAGTTCAGCTTGTGACGACTTCCTTTTTATTATATCTTCGAGTGACATATCAGGTTTTACTCTCATGTCGGCATGGTCGTGAATACGGGCGCTACTTAACGGGTCAGATTGCTTCCCGGACGCTAGGATTACTTTAAAGGAATCTACAGGATTGAGGTTAACCACTGTAGTTGGTCCTTTTACCTATCCTTATCCATTTTTTTATCTGAACTATTTGAAGGTTATCTGGTAAGATGGATAAATTCTTCGAGATTTTCCGAATCATGTCTAATTATGAAATCAGGATCGTTTGGCTCTAGCAAATCACTTACAATAATACTCGATGAGATTAAATTCTTCTCAGCCATGGCAGGTTGAAGCATTGTCTTTTTATTAGACTTTGGTAGTGTATTTTGTGACTCAGAATGGAAGTTCATCAAGCACTTTCCAACCAAGTGTGTAGCGCTTACAGCTTTTACCTTTCACTTTTTTTCTGCGCAATGCCGTCCATTTTTTATCGCTTGAGACAGTCACACCGGAACTATTTTTATCCGGTTCTTCAAATTTTACTGAAGAAGCATGACAACTCATGTCAACAATACGTGACATTTCACTACTCGTTAGTTTTAACGGAGATTTTACTTTCACATCAATCACAGTCGGGTGTTTGACGTGTCCTGTGACGGCATGTACTACACTGACACATTCTTCACTGTCAGTACTCGTGTGACCAAAGCAATCACCATGTTTCTTCTAACAGCCTAAGGCTAGGAGGTTCATAGGCTCCTGGATCAGTAACGTCTAATTGGTACAGCAAAACATACAAAACCAGTGCGAGTTAGGCTTCGGGCAACTTTTGGGACTTTAACAGGTGCAAATCTTATGGAACTACGTTTTACACTCACCACATTGCATTCCTTCTCCCGCGAGGAATAAACAACTTGGCTATCCACATTTATAAGTACTGCCAACCATTGTAATAAGAATAAAAAGGTTCAAAACACAATCATCAACGAATGGAACTAAGATCACAGTATTTTAGTAAATACAGAACTATAGCGCTCATCAAGTCCTTTTCTGAAAGATTCTCGAAAATACGCCATCACCATAGAAAGATTTGGTATTTTGACTCAGACTGTGAAAGTGGTGAAAATTTTTATGAGGCAAACAAAATATTTCTATCGGTTGGAAAACCATTCTGACGACCATCATATTTCGAGAAAAAATATTTCTCGAAACAAAGATTTTGAATAGTCTTGTGGCGGGTTTTTTGTCAGAAGTACGTTTTAACGTGGCAGCAGATTTACCGTTTACGTTTAGTAGGTTTTAGGTTATATTGTATCATTTGACATACCAATATCATCTTGTTGTTGAGAGCTTATGTGTCTCTTTTGATTTTCAACTTACTTTACTATCTCTGACTTATTGATGCTCCAGATCTTAGTTAACAAATATAATTATATTTGCTAGATTTTCAATAAATCTTACGGTTTGTGTACAGAATTTTAAAGGCGCACTTTACTTCAATGTGTCCACCGATCGACCCTTGCTGAGCCATATTTTAAAAGGCTGACTACTTGCTAGAGAAACGTTGCCACTTCCCCAAAATTTACAACCACACCAAATGTCTCATACGCACTGCAAAACATCTTACTTTCAACACTGTTAACATGATTTATTTAGCGGTTAACTAGAGAATCATCTATTTATTTATATTCAGTGATTTTGTTATTTGACTAAATTTTCTTAAAGAAACTCAAGCTAGTTTGCCGAGCAAAATGTTGGGTTTACTTTAAGTTCAGTCACTGAAATTTTCACGTGTATAATTTTCCTCCTTAATGTGATAGGTGAGTGTGAAATGATATCCCCAAGAGTCGAGACGAAAAAGTCTTCGTCTGTCAATTTAAGCCATTTCTTCTATGAATAAAAATAATATTTTTATAATATCTCAATTTATCTGAAATTATCAAGTTAATCCCTGGCAATGATACCCACATTTCTTCTATGGTCAGTAAATACTGGGTAGTCCTAGGCTTGTTATCTGTGATTGCCTGCTAGCCATGGATTTTGGTTCAGTAAAATACAGTGTAGGTCTCCATACATGTAATGTCCACCTATCCTCACTATGCACCAATAGAACCTAGGAAATCAATGAATGAGAAGGCAGTGGATTTGAAACAAATATAAAATTTTTTGTCTGCTTATTCATTTATTTAAACACGTAAACATTGGTACAAGGAGTCATCAAGCAGATATGTGCCACATAAATCATTCGATTTGTGTGAGGGCTGAGATACTGCCCGGACTTGTCATAATTCTTCTGGTACGACTACAGCACCATTTTGAAGGATTTGATTTAAAACTAACATTTGTCTCTTTACAGGTTTTCGTTTCCTGAAGCTAGTGATTAGAAAATTTTCAAATTTATTCTGATGCCTAGCAAATTTTCAGTTTTCACGTATGTCGTTAGGGGGTTGAGGTAACGTCTGTTCCATTTATATACACAGTAGTAGTTGTCATTGGAACCATGTTAAACTTGGACCTCCAGATGCAATTTTGGGGATTACCGAGGCATATAATCGTGATACTAATCCTCAGAAGATTAATCTGGGGGCTGGTGCCTATAGAGATGATAATGGGAGACCCTTCGTCTTGCCATCTGTCAAAGAGGCTGAATCACTTTTGTTGGCGAAAAATTTGAATAAAGAATATGCTCCAATCAGTGGCATCCCCCAATTTTGCGATCTGTCCATTAAGCTTGCACTTACTGATCAGTCTTCACGAATCAAAAATCGCTGTGTAAGTTTGACTGTTTATTCCCTTTGTTTTTGGTTTTGGGGTTTGTTAATATTAACTCGCGTCCCATCCAATTCATTGATATTACTGTATTTATATGTTAAGTTGGATGCATAATTTAAAACTCAATTAGTTGAATGAATTTAAACTTCAAAGTTTGTCTTATAAGACATGCATATATGCGTGCTTGGCATATGGGTAAAACTCTGGTTTCAGATATTTTTCGCTTTGCAATACTTAACTAGTTTTTAAAGCTAAGTATGTCACAGATATCAACCTGCAGTATGTAAAAAATGTCTAAATCTGATCTAACTAATACATTGGAATATTGCCAGAATGGTGACGTGGTTGTAGAATAAGGTGTAGAAATCGATGTATGTAAAATGTTACTGTTTTATCCAGTCAATTGTAAAGTCAGTCAGTCAGTAACAACGTAGAACTTATTACGTACGTACATCAGTTCGAGTTGCCACACCACATTAGCACAGAGATGCAGTGGTCGATTCAAATCCCGTAGTAGTAGAGGTAGCAAGAGTATAAGCAGTAATCGGGAGGATTAGGGTTTGGAGATGTTATTTAACGAGTATAATCCAGTGAAATAAATATGGAAAGAGGAAAAAATAGGGGCATGAAGAATTCAGATAATTAGAATTTGGGAGAACATAGAGAGTGGATGCACCTGCGCCATTGCAATCGATTTTGAGCCATGTCATTCAGGGTCTCTAACCATCGGTTGCTATCATTTCGCGGTCCCCAACCAGGTAGTCTACACCTACCAACATGACTCAGACCACTTGTCAGTGACTTCATGGATTTGTGCCATGTTTTGGTCTGGCCGCCCCTAGCTTTCTTCCAACCTACTCCTATACCACTGAATATAGCACGTCGAGGTAGTCGGTGGTTGGGCATACGTAACACGTGTCCCAGCCATCTCAACTGATGAAGTTTCACTACTTCATCAATTGATTTGCCATCCTTACCTAGTACCCGTTTCCTGACAGCTGCGTTACTTACTCGGTGGTCCCAGGATATACGAGCAATACTTCGAAGACACCTATGATCAAATACTAGTAACCTACGAATATCCTCTACTCTTACCGGCCATGTTTCACAGCCATAAAGTAGGACGGAACGAACTGCTGCGCAGTAAACACGTCCTTTGGTTGGTAGACGGATATCTCGCCTACACCATAAATGACGCAAGTTGGCAAAAGCTAGTCGAGCCTTCTGTATCCGTGCTGAGATTTCGTCACACACCAGACCACAAGGGCTGATGAGACTTCCAAGATAAGTGAAGCGGTCGACACACTCAACTGCTTCACTCCCTATCACTAGTTCGGGTGTCGATGTAACCCAATCCTGAAGCAACATTTTGCATTTCGAGGGAGAGAATCGCATCCCGAACATGCTTGCATTGTTGCTTAGAGTGGTCAGAAGACTCTGCATTTTGTCAGCGTCTTCACCAAATAAAACTATGTCATCTGCATATTCTAAGTCAACAAGTGAACCTCCCGGTAGAAGTTCAACCCCCGGAAATTTAGATGAGGAGAGTGTTATCTCTAAAAGTACGTCGACCACAAAGTTGAACAAGAATGGGGAGAGTGGACAGCCCTGACGAACACCACTTGATGTAATCAATTCTGATGACAGTTCGCCATAAGCTCTCACTCTGCCAGTCGTGTTCGAGTAGAGAGCCTTTATAAGGTTAATGTACTTCTTTGGTACTCCTTTCAGTGACAAACACTGCCATAGAACCTCACGATCAACAGAGTCGAATGCCGCCTTAAGATCGAGAAATACTACCATTGTGGGGCGTCTGAATGTGTGTCTGTGTTCTAGAACCTGACGTAGTGTGAATATCTGATCTATACAACCACGTCCAGGTCGAAAACCGGCCTGGTTTTCTCTAGTTTGCTCTTCACGAGCTTTGATTAGGCGTCGAAGTATTATTGAAGCTAATATTTTAGACACTATATTAGTCAAACTGATTCCTCTGTGATTGTCACAAGAGGACTTTTGTCCTTTCTTATAAACTGGTACAATCAGTGATTGAGACCAGTCAGATGGGATTACGTCCAGTTCCCAAATTCTACCTAAGACCTCGGTTAATCTCATTGCTAATACTGGACCACCATCCTTAAAAATCTCAGGAGTAAACCTGTCAGGGCCTGCTGCTCTCCCTCGTTTCAGATTTCCTATGGCTTTTTCAACTTCATAAAGAGACGGAGGACTTACATTAACTTGCCATTCAGGTTGACTGGAGATCGTGGGAAACCGAAGTGTGGCTGAAGGCCAGTTGAACTGATCCCTAAAGTGTTCTGCCCATCGATCCAATCTCCTGGATTGAGAATGAATAATATGTCCATCTTTCTCTGCGATTGTTTCGCTAACAGTCGGGTTCCTAATTCCGGTTTCCTTAACGAGTCTAAACAATTGTCTGCTATTACCTATTGCCGTTGCCTTTTCCATCTCTCTTGCTTTCGCTACCCACCACTGTTCGCGATCATTGCGTAGACTTCTTGTCAGTTTGCGCTTAAGTTGACTCCGCTCTTCACTATGTTCAGAGCCAGGTGGAATGAGTTTCCGAGCATCTATCAGTGCGATAGATGCTGCTGAGATCCAGTGTTGCTCCCTAACCTTCTGGTTTACCTTACTAACAGATATCACTGCTGTTTCCACAGCTTTTCGGATATCATTCCATGCTGCCTCGGGGTGGGCAGCACATACATGGCTGCCTAACTGTTTTCCTAGTTGTTCCTGAAATATACTCTTAGCTTGACTATCATTAAGTAGGCCCCTAAGAGGTTTCCTTGCAGCGTTTTTCCTACGTCCAGTAAGACGCAAGCAAATACGCGCTCGTACTAGAGCATGATCTGAATCTAGGCATGTGCTCCAGAATGAGCGACAGTCTTCTATCGAGCCCCTCCATCGGTGGCTGATAGCGATGTGATCTATTTGGGTCCAACGTTGGGACGAATTAGGGGGTCGCCATGTTAAAAGATGTTTTTCCTTATGCTTAAAGTTAGTATTTGCAAGGAATAGGCGGTTATCTGAGCATAGCTGCAACAGACGGTCGCCGTTATCTGTTCTTTGAGCCACGACACCATAAGATCCACCTAGGTGTCTTTCCCTATCGCTTAGTTTACCTACTTGAGCATTAAAGTCACCGGCCACTATTACTACGTCCGAGCGCTTAGCTTTTCGGAGAAGGTCCGAAAGCTTTCTGTAAAACTCATCTTTTACATCATCTGAGCTGCAGTCAGTGGGAGAATAGGCAGCGACGAGTGTCCCTATCTTTCCGGATTCTTACTGTTCCGTTCAGTCGGACGGCGCACAAACGACTGTCTACTGGGATCCACTCTAAGAGAGCTAGTTCTGCCCTAGGACTCAATGCTATACCTACGCCGGCGAGGCCACGGGAAGCAGAATCAGGGCTTCCAGATACACGAAGCGTAAATCGAGTCGGTTCTTTATTTTGGCATGGTGAGGTCAAATGAATGATGCTACTTGGATCCTGTATGCGCGTTTCGGAGACGCAACACACATCGATGGCGTAAGAGTCTAAAGTCCTAGCTAAGGAAGCCTGCTGTCCTTTTTGGCACAGTGTTCGTACGTTAAAAGCTCCTACGTGTAGTTTAGAGCGTGGTTTCAGGAGACCAGGAATAGCGTTCCACGTACTCGAATCGTTTGCCCTAGCGGTGCGAGGTGATAAAGAGACGTGAGGAGGGTTAGTCATGGAGATAAGAGAGGTATTAGGTGTAGGAAGGATTTGAATGTGACCAACTTGGTCTTGCGTGCTGTTACGGGTATGAGGGCTGATGTCACTTCCCGGCTGCCCACACCGTGGAAGGGTATTTCTTGAGGAACCTGAAAAGGAAATTGGATTAGTGTTGGTCTTAATGACCTGGGAGCGTGACCGCAGAGCCCAAGGGACAACTGCTTGAGGCCGGTCGCGCACGGCCTTTTTGTAGAAGGTTTTTGACGTGTTAGCTCCGTTCTTCAGATGGCCTTACCGCCGGAGACGGAAATCCGTGAGGTAAGGTGAGGTGTGACATTTTTAGGGTCGACCTTTTCTAACCCCACCCCTCCTTGTGGGAAGGCAGCATCGCTGTCATGCTGATTGTCCGAAGGAAACACCTTACTGCTGTCACACCTCTGTACAGTCAGCAGTACGACTTCGCCCTCAGACTTTGAGTTGCTGCTTTTAGTCTTACCGTTCACCAATCGACCTGCCTGGCATGGTAGAACCTACAGGAACATATGTTCCAGCCAATATAGCTCGGATGGGTCATCACGATAGGCAAGCCCGACCACCACGTCAAGGTAGCAGCTTCGGTCGGGCAATTGTAAAACGGTTGATAGAAAGCTTGAATACTAATATTCAAAGCATGGAGTAAATTTTGAATGCAATACATTCCTTGTTTACACTTAAGCTTACATCTGTTTAGTATTACTTTGTACCATGAATAATATAAACGCTAGTTCCAATCATGTTAATATACTTCGCAGAAAAATCATTGCACACAATAATACATAGATTTCTGAAACCCAGTATATTTCACTTCAAAGTAATTCCTCAACTCAGGCAAAATATTTAGTGTTCTAAGTGCGTAGTTATGAGAAGTAATTGATTTCATATTTTAAATGTAAACAGACATGAAATAAATTTTAAATTTAAGCTAAATGAAACACGTAATGACCTGGACCATACAAAAACTTGATAGTAAATATAGATACGAAATTCGTGTTGGGAAGCCTTCACATCCGTATAAAAATGAATTACTTAAGACGTGTGTGTTTATTGTCTCCAGGTGAAGCTTAATTACACAGTAAATAATCCTGAAACGTCTATTTTGTGGTAATCAGTCATAATTGATGTGAAGTCTGACATAAATGGGGATCGGCCTGAGTTGCCGTATCATATACTCACAATATATGAAATTAATCTAATGAGTAGCAAAAAATTTAGTGGATACAATAACAAGAAAACCACCTGCTTCGGGCTGGGCACCCGGGCAGTATCAGCCCACACACACAAATATGGTGTGGCCCATATATATTTGGTGCCCTCTTGTACCAATATGTATATGTTGAAATAAAATAAATAAAAATTATAAACATTGACATGCTTCAAAAAGACAGGACGAACAAGTATATATGTGATAAGTCTTTTGATTGAACGCTACTTTTTATATTTGATCGTCGCTGATTGTTATGACGGAATCGCTGATCATTTATACTTGTAAAGTGAGAAACTACTGCAGTTCCCACGATGCGAAAGTAAGAACACAAAGCCTAGTACAAGTGAAGACTCATTAACCTCAAAACACGATGACGACGACCCTAGTCGAAAATACATTCGTCTATTTATCGATTCGTACACTCATTTTTGATTAATAATTAGAATAAAATCATATATATGAAACAATACTTAGGGTTATAACAAAGCACATGCTACATGTCATGCTGAGCATAGTTCAGGTCAATTAAATACAAGAATATCATATGTTATACAGAATAAAATGTCATACGGGAAAGCAAAACAAATACTACACTGAGTAATCATTACATTAAATTAAAACGAAAGCAATGTTGACCAAAAATCACAATGTAATCTTGAATTTTCATCCCGTTAGATCAATATGAAGTAACACTGTGACAGAAGACCACAAACTCTAATTTTAGCTGTAAGTTATCCTAACGGTAGATTTATGATTTTTGTTGATTTCAGATAAGATTAATGTTGTACTATGCCATTTTTATACTTTATTTAGAACGCTACAGCTCAGACAATATCTGGTACAGGAGCCCTTAGAATCGGTGGATCTTTTATCGTAGGTGTTGTCTTGTCATTTTGGATTAAATCTTTTTAGAATGAATTTGCGGAACAAAAACATATATGGATGCCAACACCTACTTGGGGCAACCATAAACCTATTTTCACGTGGGTTCATCATTTTTAGAAAATAATTATTTGTTATTGGAAGCCGATTTTTGAAGTGAAAATGGTTCTCGTTGTCGTAGAAAGTTATGACTTATGTAGCTTTAACTGTTGTTGAAGGGTACGGCTGATGTGTTACTAAAACAGTTCACTAGCTGTTATTGTTTTCCTTCATTTTTGTATCGTTAAACTCCTACTTTCTTTGGTTAAATGGGTATAATATTATCAAAGCAGATATATAGATAAATGTTACTAATTGGTTTCTAGTTACTTAATGAGGAAATACAACGAAATTATGCTTTAAATTGAAAGTAGCAGTTTTACTTCTTGTTTATCTTGTGTTTTTATTCTTAAATATTTGACTATAAAGCTATTAGTCTGTCTCCAAGATATAGACAGTTTAATTTAGACAAACACTGAACAACAAGTTTTTTGTTTGGAAGTAACAACTCAAACCAATAAGGAACTCAATGAGCAAGTACACTGGGTTTTTTTACTTTTAACTAAATATGTATCTATGTGTGTAAAACCTACTAATATCACCTAACTTGAAGAACCTATACTATGAAACAGTTCACTCTGTATTACTCCGTGGCCGTGAAACTAAAAGGTATGCATATGTTGCAAGGTTTATCTAATAGGTGTCTTTGAAATATTTGTCGCGTACTGTGAAATGATAGGGCGGACTATGTTAAAGTTGGGCTTATGGTATTGAGCACAGATGACAAACCACTTGACAAAGCAGTGAAGCTTCATCAACTATGGTTTCTGGGACGTTTGCTACATCTTCTTTACCATTGCCTATCTCGATATAATGTTGTATGATGTGTGGGTAGGTTGGAACAAAGCTAAAGGCGGCCAAATCTGACACTAATCTGTGAAATCATCGGCTACTTGTCTTAGCCATGTTGAAAAATGCAAAGCGATTTTTGGATCATGTGCGTTAACCCAGATCAATAGATGGAGACTTCAGGTGATTATGGCTAAGACTCAGTTACAACATCGCAGACACGTTCACACTTTATGCTGTTCTAGATCTTGAGTTCCAGTATCTCTTCATACATATCTTTTCGTTCCATCTTTCTGAACCACATCCTCAATTTTTATGTATTTGAACACATAAATATTGGTACAAGGGTGCACCAAATATATATGCGCTACACAAAACAATGAGAATTCGAAGAGAAAAAAAGGAAGGTAAGGAGCGTATAAGTAAAAGAAGAATGACGACCAGATTAGTGTAAGGTAGTGTAATAATAATAATAATAATAATAAAAATAGTAATAATTATAATAACAATAGGGGAGACGCAAAGGTACAACCAGAAATCTTTTAGTTAAGGAAGATACAACCACTTTTTTATGAAGAAAAGAAGGTTACAACAAGATCGCCACTGGCTTCTATTTTGAGCCATATCTGATAACGTCTCTAGCCACTGTGTAGCACTATCTCTCGGACACCAGCCAGGAAGTCGTGAAGGATCAACAGAAGCCAGCCCTTTGCAGCTTTCTTTCATACCCCGGCACCATGTCATACACTGACCACCTCTCCGCTTTTTCCAGCCAGTCCCAGAGTCGGCAAATAATGCACGACGTGGAATTCTCTCGGATGACATTCATAGAACATGTCCAAGCCACAGAAGTTAGTGTTTCAAGATGGTGACACCAATTGGATTATCGTCTCTGCACCCGAACACACGATGCCGAACCTCTGCATTACTGACATGGTGTTGCCACTGAATGTCAGCAATCCTTCGGAGACAGCGATGATCGAACACAGAGAGTCGTCTAACGTCCTCAACTCGGAGAGGCCAGGTTTCACAAGCATAGAGTAAAACTGCTCTCACCGACGCGTTGTAGATCCGACCTTTTACAGCCAGACTAACATCACGAAGGCGCCAAAGATGGCCCAGATTGGCATAAGCCGCTCTGGCTTTCACTATACATGCATTGATCTCATCACTCACACCCCCACCAGCACTTATGCAGCTACCCAGATACACGAACTTCTAGACTACTTCTATCTGCTCACCATCCAGGGTGAGTACAGGATTGGAATCCTGCCAGTCTTGTAGAAGTACTTTGCACTTCGAAGGTGCAAAGCACATACCATACCTACGGACACTGATTGCCAACTGATTAAGTGCGGATTGCATGCCTTGGGCATTATCGCACAGTAAGACAATATCATCCGCATACTCAAGGTCGAGAAGTCTTTCTCCAGGCAACAGATTCACACCACCATTACTTACATTCATCAGAGCTGTTTCCAGAATGTCATCGATGGCAAAGTTGAAGAGGAATGGTGAGATTGGGCAACCCTGCCTAACCCCACTACTCGTATAGAACAATGGAGAGAGGTGGTTGTATGCCCTCACTCTGCCTGAGGTGTTTTTATATAGGGCTTTTAGGATGTTAATAAACTTCTCAGGCACACCCTTCTTCAATAGACAATCCCAGAGAACAGTCCTGTCCAGCGAATCGAAGGCAGCCCTGATGTCAAGAAACACTACGATTGTTGGCCTTTGATAAGTATGGCGATGTTCTAACATTTGGCGGAGGGTGAAGATATGATCAATGCAACCTCGACCAGAACGAAACCCAGCCTGCTCCTCGCGAGTCAATCTTTCTCGGGTTTTGAACAACCTACGAAGTATGACGGAAGCCAATAGCTTGGACGCAATCGGAAGTAGACTTATCCCCCGATAGTTGTTGCAGGAATGACGTGAACCCTTTTTAAAGATAGGGACAACTATCGACTCATTCCATGACGTTGGTACACTCTCTAATTCCCAAATCTTTGTAAACAACGTCGTCAATTCCTTAGTCAAAAAGTCACCACCATCTTTAAAATGAGCCGGAGGTAAGTCATCTGGGCCAGGTGATTTGTAACGCTTCAAGAGTTGGAGTTCCTTGCGGACTTCCTCCTCGTTTGGTGGATCAGTCGTCACCGGCCATGGAGGGCAGGATAGTCTGACCGATGTTGCCGGAGCAGCAGGCCAGTTGAACTGCCCTTCGAAAAATTCTGCCCATCGTCCAAGACGTCGATGGATGTTAGTGATTGGCATCCCATCATCCTCGTAGGTTGTTTCACTCACACCAGACTTCTTGCTGCCAGTGGCTCGGATGAGTTGGAAGGGCTTCTGGTAATTACCAGATGCAGCTACTGCTTCCAGCTTATTAACACGCCCCAACCACCAGGCTTCTCGGTCCTTACGCAAGCTTTGCCCAATTTCCTTACGTAACATCCTTCGTTTATGGTCAAACTCACGGTCACCCGGAGTAGACCGACGGGCTTCAATAAGTTGTAAGGAACCAGAAGAAACCCAGTGCTTATAAGCGGGACGTTTCGCAAATCCACAACTGACTGTTCCCGCCATTTTCATGGCGTCATGCAATTGCAACCAATGCTCATCTATACTTTTCGGTGGAGTGGTAGCTAGCCTAGAGGCTAGCTCGGTTCGATACTTATTTGCAACAGAAGTTGCAACCAGCTTGCTAATATCAATCCTTTGATGGCGGTCACTTCGTTGTCCACTGAAAAGTAAGGCAAGATTGGCGCAGACCAAGGCATGGTCAGAGTCCAGATAGGTACTCCAAAAGGAGCGGCAGTCTTTTACACAACCACGCCAGCGGAAGCTGATCGCGATGTGATCAATTTGAGTCCAGGCTTGGGATGCAGAGGGAGGACGCCAGGTGGCACGTCGGCGATGACTGTGCCGAAAGTTAGTGCTAGCCAGAAATAGGTTGTGGTCTGTGCATAGTTGCAGTAGACGGTCCTAGTTTTCTGACCTGCGACCAACGAGTCCCCATCGGCCACCTAAACGACTCTCTTCTGTGCCTAGACGCCCGACCTGAGCATTCAAGTCTCCGGCTAGTACTACAATATCTGTCGAACGCACTTTCTGGAGAAGAACAAATAAATAGTGGTAAAACTCATCCTTGATTGCATCCGGGCTGCAATCTGTCGGGGCATAGGCGGAGACGACGAAAAAATATCGTTTCTCACGTCGATTTCTCCTCACTTTGATGGAACTTTCTAGTCTAACAGCACATGACCGACTGTTAATGGGGATCCAATCGATTAGTGCTGCCTCAGCTCTAGCGCTTAGTGCGACACCGACGCCAGCAAGACCAGACGAAGATGCCACAGGGTCTCCCGGATAAACGCACGTAAAACAAGCTTTTCGAAGCGACAGATGGACAGCGAATTTACAGTACTTCACCAGAGTCTTGAATACGGGTCTCGGATAGACAACAAATGTCGATATTAAGACTTTCCAAAGACATAGCCAGCCTGCATACGTATTCAAACGTTGAAGGCAGCCAGTTTGAATGATGCACGTGGTTTCCGAAAAACTGCTTCAGTATTCGTATTTAGTGGTAGCATACAATTTCCAACCAGGGAGTGACTCGAGAACGTTTAGATAAAACCGAGTTTCCACCACAGGCGAACTTCTGTATAAGTCGAAAAATAAGGATACACTATGTGGGAATAAAAGAGTGAATAAGTGACGTGGTAAATAATAATGTGAGTTGATTGACTGTAAATCGAAGCGTGAATAGAATTTTCAGTAAATATCGTCATTTTCGTCTCATTTGTGTGTGGGCTGTGATACTGCCCGGGTGCTCAGATCGACGCAGGTGGTTTTCTTACGGGGCCATATCCCGAGCATTTGACCTAGAGGTCTGACCCACAAGGCAGTGGAGCATCACGAGGAGATGCATTCCCATGGTAGCCAGTGACCAATAATTGGTTCATACGCCATTTGTTCCCTCAGGATACTGGGGCCCATGTGCACCATTGGTTTGGGATCCAGTTAAAGAGCCAGACATTCACTTTTCATCCTCCCATTTTCGTAAACAGTGAGTAGAACTTCCCTGGCAGAGGCTGTATACGCGTGGCCATGTGAGAGCATTTCGAGAGGGAGGGCGGGCCCACCACACTCTCGGCCATACCACGGCATATGGGGTCTTAATGCTTAATTTTTCTAATTTCCATCGCTAAAAGTTATTTCCACTCATTTTTATGCATCTTATTAATTTTATCTGGCTTCACTGATATGGTGTGACAACTTAACTGTTTGGACTAATAGAACAGTGCTTTATTAGTTAAAGCATTCAATTTCCGACTACAATTGCATGTATTAAAATAAATACATAATAAATGAAGTATACAGTGTTTTTCTGTCAGAAATTACATGGTTTGGGAATACTTAGGGAGCTAACTTCCTTTGTTTGATAATTCTCTCGAGTGATCATTTTGTATGTGACTGTAGAAACGTTTATTTATTTCTAAAATATAGACATAGTGGACTAAATGTACACCAATATCGTTATTACAATAGTAATACTTGTGGTCTGGATATAGATGGTTGTTTATCTGATTTATCGAAAATTCCCAAAGGACATTTTGTTCTACTTCATGCATGCGCACATAATCCTACTGGAGTAGATCCGTCATTTGAACAATGGCAGAAAATTGGAGAGATTTTGCAATCACGTGGTTTGATTCCATTTTTCGACTGTGCTTATCAAGTATGTTAAGAAAATTTATTAATATTCTTTTTGTTGGTTTTAAACGGAATCGGTCTTTAGTTATATCCTAGCTGACAACCAACTTGATTGCGTTTAATTCTTCATAGTCGATTAGGACGTATAACGGATAACTTAAGTAAGTGCGATGCGTCCGAAAAGATTACGAGATCACCTAAAATCAGCTGACGGAACGAAGAATCAGTAACATAACAACAAGACAAGTTAAAATATTCACTGAGTCCCAGCCGTGCTGACTAGAGTAAGAAGACCAGACTCAACCAAAAAGAAAGTACATTTCACAAGCTGTCGAAAGCACAAACAGTAAGCACACAACTCAAGCGCATATATATGCTGTAAAAATGGCTTTGTGAAACGTCACAAAATAGCGTATTAAACGAGGAAGCGAATCAATAACATTTAAGGTCCTTCTGAGTGGAAAATAAAAAGTGAAGTTAAAAGTGGGCACTTCCGGTGCTAAAATGAGATTTCAATGGCGAGACTATAATTTATGGACGAACAAATCAGGTGTAAGATAACAGGTCTTCTATTTTGGCGCGAAGTTCACTCATCCATTTGATTAAATAGCGTTTTGGTATTACAGCTGATGTTAGTTCGTGATGAAAACCGTAAATCTAATTCCTAGCCTTAACCATCAACTTCAAGTCGTAATTCTAATTCCCCACACTGGTTCATAACTCTCATTTGGTCCACTATCAAGGTCACTTTAGCGTCGCTCAAAGGTCGTCCATAAATTATAGTCTTATCAATTCAATTTTTAAAAATGAAATTATAAAAAGTAAGACGTTTAGTGTGTGATTTCTGGGGATCTAGCATCCTTAAAAATGTGACACAACATGCTGCTCTACTTTTTCATAATAATGCAAGGTATCTTATGATAACAGGAGTTTATTATTCGAAATCTGACACTGGTAAAGATCTATTTATCAGTAATTTGTACCTGTAATCGTATTGAAACCCTTGTTTTTTCTAAGAAATGTTACCACTGAGCTACTCAAATAACACTGTTGTATTTAGCAAATATTTGTTTATCGCACTCTAAAGATCACGAAGGATCTTTGGTTATCGATGACAAACTAATTTACTTGAAGTGCTGATCTATACCAACTGTATTTCCCATAAGTATCGGGAATTGATCAAACTTGTATTAAACATCTTATTTTTGTAGAAACCGATTGTCAAAAAATTTTTATGAATATAAGTTTCACTGATTGAAATCATGAGCCAATTGAAGTTAGACCACCTTGGAAAACCTGGAAGCACTGAACGGCCGTTTCGTCCTAGTATGGGACTCCGCAGCAGTGCGCACCCACGATCCCGCACCCCTGCGAGATTCGAACCCAGGACCTGTCAGTCTCGTGCCAGGCGCTTAAACAACTAGACCACTGAGCCGACATCCAACGGTGTTATTGTCTAACTTTAACCAATCCACGAAGTTGCGCCACCGTACACCATTGTCTTCAGTGAGTTGATATCTCACAACAGACCTGATTGAACTCTACTGGCAACGGCTTCTCACTAGAAACGGCAGTCCAGGTTTTCCATGGTGGTCTAGCTTCAATCGACTCATGATTTCAATCAGTGAAATTTCTAAAATCTCCACAAAACCCCTTCTGAGAATAGAAGTTTGTTGAGTGAATCAGGTTTTCAATTGTTGGGATGAATAGATTAAATGCTAATTGGTTGATGAAATGTTATGACACAATGTCACTGAGTGATGTTTCCTCATTGACCAAAGTATTGATATAGGTTCTCAGTTGGTGCAATATCAGAAGGCAAAATATCTGCGTAGTAGAATAAATTCTTCCTAACAAAATAACACTGATACACAGAATTGCGAATATAGAAATAAGTGTTGGTTAAAAGGCATCTGACATATTAATGATTCGAAAATATCCCAACTCTGTAATGCGATCAATGTCTAGGAGTCAAGCTTAATTCTTGCTCAGTTACATCGAAACTTCAAGATCAAACTTATACACCTGAAATCTCTAAATAAGACGTGATAAAGGTTATACAAAACGTTTAATTATTATGAATTTCTTTTGTCTGCATAATACATCCTTCGTTGCATGTAAGAGCGTTCAGAAACTCTAATCCAAGCACATTTATTAATATATTGAATTCAGAATGGGTTTTGTGGAGAGTTTTTTTTTAGAAATTTCATAGGTTGCAATCATGGATGCTGGCTCAGTGGTCTAATGGTTAAGTGCTCGTGCGCGAAGCCAGTAGATGCTGGGTTCGAACAACGCGTAGTGCGGGATCGTGGATGCGCACTTCTGAGGAGTCACATACTAGGACGAAACGGCCGTCCAGTGCTTCCACGTTATCCATGGTTGTCTAGCTTCAATCCACTCATGATTTCAACCTATGAAATATATGGAATTATTCATTGTAATGTCTATTGTTTCTGTTTTTTATTAATGTTTATCGATTTATGTTTCAGGGATTTGCCTCCGGCAATATTGATAATGATGCAAGAGCAATACGTTATTTTACCGATGAATTAAATTTCCCCACCATATTACTTACACAAAGTTTTGCTAAGAACATGGGACTATATGGTGAACGTGTTGGTGCTTTCACTTTACTTTGTTCATCTCCTGATGAGGCCGAACGTTGTTTGTCACAAATCAAGATTATTATTCGACCAATGTATAGTAACCCACCGATTCATGGCGCACGTATTGCAACGGAATTAATGTCTAATCCTGATTTACGTCAAAAGTGGTAAGTTAATGTTTTTCAAACTTCTGCTAGCTGATGTTTTCTTTTATTTCCAGGTGACTTATTTATTATTAGTAATATACAAAGTTTTGTAAATTATGAAATACTAGGTCAATGGGTAAAGTTATGAAAAAATTAGACATGAGACAAATCATACAGTTAATGAATAAACAAAACAATCAACATGAACTTCATTCAGTTGGAATAACCATATTGATTTTATGAAGAATGCAGTAATTGATTATTTCAGGTTTCTTCTTTCTATTCCGAACAATGTCTGGTCAAATAAAAAACTACGATGTTGCGTGATTCCTAAAATACCCTATCTAGGAAGTTGGTATGGACTAACAGTAGTCAGTTCAACACAGGTATGTTCCATCTCAAGATGTAATATCCTACACTGACCACCTGTGTTTTCTATTTGAGTCCCGGCACTGGTAAATAATGGATGGTGTGGAAGCTGTTGGGATGGAAATCGCAAAATATATTCGAGCCATTTAAGGCGGTGTTTCATTGTAGGAATGTAGTGTATGCTATTTATGTCTGTCAACACAAGTAGTATGGAACACCAATCAGAAGTGTAATGCCTTGCAGCAGAAGGTTGAGAAGATCGAATTAAGGATAACAGAAATGTAAACAGAAAGTAATTGTAATAGCAGTAAAGGGACGGTGAAGTTTGAAACAATTGATGGAAGATTTGCAGATGAAGTATTTAATCTATGTCTTATCACGATTTACGAAAAAAAACTTATTTTACATTAAATAATAAATCGGATATCCCAACTTGAATGTTCGTTCACTACAGTAACATGTGTAGAGTAATCTATCCAATTACATCTGAAATCACATTTCTGAAACGCTGAAACATTTACTCAGTATTATCGCCAAATATGAGTAGTTTTTTGCAAATAACGATGGTGAAAGTAAAGTTGGATGTTACTGAAACCAAAATTAAGTGTTGTACGTTATTTCATACAACCGAATCCTGAACTACTATGATACTTATTTTAGCATCTATATTGTACACAACGACCAGTTTATCATAAACGGTGACAACAGCTGACAATTGTTTGATAACAATGACTAACTGTAATAGTTGTCTATCAATTTTTATTTTACTTTGAATGTGTTATTCTGCTCTGGAGAATCTCTTCCATTAAGTCAGTATATTCAGTATATTGAAATCACAAACCGATCATTAAGAATCTGGAAGCACTGGATGGATGTTTCTTCTTAGTATTGTAGTGAAGTAGAACACAGATGAGGACAACCGATTATATTTAGCACAAAATTACAGTTACTTGGTAAAATAGAAAAACCATTCTCTAACACTTCATTTGCAAAATGCTCATTAATTGTCTCAGACTTCATTTTCATACCAATTACTTTCTGTTCCCGTTATTCCTTTCTCAATCTCTTGCTGCCAGACATTCTATCCAATTACATCTGAAATCACATTTCTGAAACGCTGAAACATTTACTCAGTATTATCGCCAAATATGAGTAGTTTTTTGCAAATAACGATGGTGAAAGTAAAGTTGGATGTTACTGAAACCAAAATTAAGTGTTGTACGTTATTTCATACAACCGAATCCTGAACTACTATGATACTTATTTTAGCATCTATATTGTACACAACGACCAGTTTATCATAAACGGTGACAACAGCTGACAATTGTTTGATAACAATGACTAACTGTAATAGTTGTCTATCAATTTTTATTTTACTTTGAATGTGTTATTCTGCTCTGGAGAATCTCTTCCATTAAGTCAGTATATTCAGTATATTGAAATCACAAACCGATCATTAAGAATCTGGAAGCACTGGATGGATGTTTCTTCTTAGTATTGTAGTGAAGTAGAACACAGATGAGGACAACCGATTATATTTAGCACAAAATTACAGTTACTTGGTAAAATAGAAAAACCATTCTCTAACACTTCATTTGCAAAATGCTCATTAATTGTCTCAGACTTCATTTTCATACCAATTACTTTCTGTTCCCGTTATTCCTTTCTCAATCTCTTGCTGCCAGACATTCTAATCCTGACTCGCGCTATATACTATTTATGTCGATATAAGTAGCACACACCACAGTATAAGAAACCCTAGCAGTGCTCATTCAAGACTACGCAATCGAGGATAAAACCCAGGTCCTTTGGTCTCGCGCTCATGTTTAACCTCTCAACCAATGACTCAGAATTCAGTGATGTACAAGTATAACTCCGGCCAATCCACAATACTGCGCGACCATTCCACTGGTCACGATTTATCACTAGAACTCCGTAAACTTTCTTTTGTAGAGAGTCACAAGTGAGCAAATAATAACTATCATTATGAGATTGTGAAGATTGTTAAGTTTTGTAACCGGACTATTTAATATACACCTATTTTTTTTACAATCTCTAATTCGTTTCATTCAGAATTATTTGTCTTAGGTGTAAAAACGTGCATAGCTATTTCCACTTCGTAAATTTTACAGAATTTTTCTCTTAATTAAAACGTCTATTCAAGCAAGTCATTCAAGTAATTGAAGAACTTGGGAGGTAAGTGCATCTGTTCAAGTTGTTGCACCATATCTTCACAGCAAGATGAAATTATCAAGTTCAATGCCAGAACAGTAGAAATAGTAATAGTGTCAGTGGTATTAGAAAAAAAAATTAGGGATAGATAATATATTTCGAGAAGAAACAATTAACTCTCAAAGTGATCTGACATAATTTTGAACTTCAGAATTTTAGAGAAAACAGTAAATTAATCTGGACCATTGTGACCGATTCTGAACCATATATCACTCAATATATCCAACCAAACGAATATTGAATAAAATCTGAATCTTGAAAATTTATCTCAGAAAATAATGGATTAATCATAGTCAATACTCGGTGTATGATAGAAATGACTGATGCATACGGGGATTCCTCTTATATTTTTTGAAGAATCTGTGAGAAAACTACAGCAGTGACCACACTGGTTTCTATTTTGAGTCATGTCAGTTAACGTCTCAAGTTTCTGAGTTGGATGCTCGTTAGGAATCCATACAAGGAATGGTGATGAGCCAGTAGGTGCTAGACCTATAGTTTTCTTCCACATTGCAGCACCATGTCATAAAGTGACTACCTCTCCCTTTCTTGTCTGTTCGGTTACAGTATCGACAATTAATGCGCGATATAAAAGCCACTGGTATGGAATTCTTAAAAAGTATCCAAGCTACTGGCATTACACTAAGCTGTCATAATGTTTGTATGTGAAATAAATGTTTACCTTTGGAACACTTACCCAACTTTTACATCCATCAGTCGATTCATCCGCCTGTTCAATTCATTTACGATATTATTTACATATTTTGAAAAACAGGCTCATTGATTTGAAAACTATGGCTGATCGTATTATTACAATGCGTCAGAGTTTAAGAAATAGTTTAATCAAAGCAGGATCTCATCATGATTGGTCACATATCACTAATCAAATTGGGATGTTTTGCTATTCTGGGCTTAATCCATCACAGGTGAGTTATTATTATTATTATTGTCTTAGAATTTATAGGGGACATTCGAACTATCGAGTTAGAATAGACAGATAACATGCTTTTGTTTAATAATGTTAAAAGAAAACAGAATCTTTTGATTGTTTTGAGTAACGATACAAGTATATTTGAAAGGTCCGTTTCTCTCTCCAGATGCGAAATGTTGCTTCAGGATGATCTGAGTCATCTAGGTCCATCTTAGGGCGGGGAAGTAGTTGAGTGCGTCGACCGATTTATTTATCCTTATGGATTACGGAGGTTGCTATACTTAATTTAAATTACGAACCTATATTAGTGCCTTCAAATGCCCTGGTACGGAAGAGGGTTGGGAGAGTCTTCTCTCCCTCTCGGAATGCTCTCACATGGCCATGCGTATACAGCCACTTCCAAGGAAATCCTACTCATTGCCTTCTCGTGGCGGTTGCGAATCCTCATCTGAGATAGTTGGGCCACGTGTTACGTATGCTTGAACACCGATTACCACGACGCGCAATGCTGACTAGTGTTGGGAATGGTTGAAAGAAAGTTAAGGGCGGCCAAACCAAAACGTGGTATCAGTCCTTGAAGTCACTAACTTCTGGTCTGAGCCATGTTGGTAGATGCAGACTACTTGGTTGGGGTCCGCGTGACTGTCGTAACCAATGGTTGGGGACTGTGTGTGACATGCCTCAGAATCGAACACAGTGACATAGGTGTATACACTTTTTGTCTTCCCTTAATCTATGAGATTAAAATCACTTCATATCTTTCATTCTACTAACTAATTTTTTCTTCCTGTATTCTAACCTAATATGCAATCTTTCTTTTATACATTACCACCATTGAATTAACTACTTTTATGAATCCGGTGTTCATCTTGTTGTGCTTGGACCGATAAATATATTTGCCTGGTCCTACGTTGTAGCTGACTGACTTCTCATGGAGGAGGTGTTATTTACGAAATTGAGAGGACGAAAAGCGAATGTCCGGCGCTTTAACCTGGTTAATAGTCACGGAGGATTCACCTAAAGGGGCTGGAAAACCCTGACTCAAAACCTATAGTGTACATTGGTACAATGTATGAAGTGATATAGGGAATTTGTAGTGATATTAAAACAATATTAGTACAAAAATACGTGTAGAGTACTGACTTTGAGAGAACATTACTAGCCCAGAAAATTATAAGGTGATTAACTTATACTAGCCTCATGACCAGGTCGAACTAAATAAACCAGTATTTTAATTTCCAGTATTACAATGATTCCTATATAAGCATACATATATTTTTAAATTTCAGGTTGAAAAGCTAACTAATGAATATTCTATTTATTTAACTAAAGATGGACGTATTAGTATTGCTGGCTTATCATCTAAAAATGTCGACTACTTAGCTCATGCTATACACCAAGTTACTAAATAATAACAAGTGTTTTTTTTCTTTCTGTTTGCTAATTTATACACAATATGATGGATTTATTTCAATAATGTTTTAACGTTCTATTTCCGTCCATTCCTGATTGTTCTGTGTGTATGAATGGTAATATGTACCATTATTTCACATATTTTTACTTACCTGATCATGTTTTTTGGTTTTAAATATACGTGATCACTTTATTGTAAACGATCAGTGTAAACCACTTACAAATAATTGTGATCCATTTTCTTCTGTCTGTACCTCCTCCTATGTTATGTTGAGGTTTGTTGCTCTTTTGCAGCTACATTCCTAAAATGTGTGTGTGAAGACATTGACAGTATTGTTTCATACATTCGGTCCCCTTTATCATCTTGAATATAGCATAAACAAAGAATTGAGCTCAATTTCTTGTTCTTGCTTGCTTATTATCATCGTTTTCAAAGGATATAGGTTTACTGTCAAAAACAATTTACGAGTACTGAATGATTAAGGCCTAACGATCAACCACCACGGCGCAGGATGTTGACTAGTGTAGTAGGTTGGAAGAAAGCTAGGAGCGGGGAAATCAAAACATGAGATCAATCTACGAAGTCACTGACTGAGCCATTTACGCAAGTTCAGACTACTTGGTTGGGGTTCCGGTTGATAACTACGATTATTGGTTGAAGACTGAATGAAAACATGACTCAGAATTAATCCCAACAACGCTGATCCATGTATACTTTATCTTTATTTCCAGTAGTTCTTCATACATATCGTTTCTATTGTTTTCTCAAATTGTATTTTCAATATTTAATCTTCCTCGCTATCATCATTGCGTCACGTCAATATGGTTATGGTAAGGAAATTGAGCTTACACATATTTATGGATAACTGACTGGTTTCTTGTGCTGTAACTTTTAAAAAGTATATGTGTGACAAAACATGTAGGGCACAAAAAGCTTTCCATTTAGTGGGTTTGTAGGTCCTTAGTATTTATCAATATGTTCACTAAATATAACAATGTAGTTAACTCTAGTCGTTAAGAATGTTTAAATCCTCAAAATTAGTTAATAATTATTTGCTATTTACTTACAATAATGTATAGAGTTGGATCAGAGCGTAATTTATTGTTTTGATCGTATGTATGCAGTAGAGCGGTGGCTCTGTAATAAGACATTGATTAGGTGGTAGTGACGTGAAAACTTTTTCCTAATTTGTCTATCACCAATTTATTCTTCAGTTTTGTCATATCTAACTTTCCACTTATCACTGTGCCATTCATTCTAAGTTTCAGTAAATCTGATGCACCATTATTTTGTTCCATCCAATCATTACATACAAAATTACTTTCTATTCTTCACTAATTAGTTGAGTTACTGACCATGTCGTCTAGTGATACTCTTTATACCGTCAATTAAACATATTGTGCATGTAATAGTTAACATATACCCAAATGGAGTTTGTTTGCGTTTTGATCATCGTTTATAGGGTTAACACGTTAGCAAATGCCGTAATACAGACCGGTCTATGATCATCATATGGATAATGTAGTTTAGACTGATGCAATGATGTGCTTTTTAGAGTTTTCTTGATTGATCTTAATAAAAAATTGACGTTTAATTATGGCTTTTGGGTGACATGTTTTTCAGTTTGAGAATTGAAATGATTGCCAAAACCATCAGTAAGTTCATACGGTTTTGTGTATTATCATTGAGTGCCTATCAGATTTCCAACTGACGCCAAATATAACAATGCTTACCACATATCATACCTCTAATTAATGTTTACAAACTACACATTAATGAAATTCTTATTATCTACTTTTCAAACGTTGAGCAACTGAAACAATTTCACCTTAAATCAAATTTGGCTTTAACCTCAAAAATAACACAATTACGGGATAGGATTTCAAGCGTTAGTTTTCGGTTGTCGTCATACTTACCCAATAGCAACTCAATAAGCTTTTCCTATTACCGCAAAAGCGCATTCATTATTGCTGATAAGATAATCCTAGTCAAAATATTCTGCATCGTGAGAATATTGGTACATAACATGAGAATAGACACACTCGCCCGAATGTTTAATAAAAACTTAGATATTAGTAACACAAAAGTGTACTGATATGAAAAAATCAGAGTAGGAAGAAGTCTGTTTATAATGAATTAGTCCTGTTAAGTAGTTGAATGTAGTCGGCAGGAAACTGCTTAGTCTATATTCCATACCAGTTGGCAGTCGTCGGAAAAGTGTATCTTTAGTTTCACACGAACTGATTCTCCCTGTGAGATTTGTACACGGGTCACGAAGTTCTACAATCAAGACATGTTACCAGCGAGTTATTTTTGCCGCGCCCAAACCTCAGTATGGTTCATGCAATGTTGCATCAGACTAGTGCATCAACACAACAACTTGGTCAATAGGATCTAATTAGTACTATTGGGTTAGACAGACATAACATTGGTCATTACTCAATGATTAATACTATTATTAGATTAGCCCATCATATGTGATGCGCTCGGTTGTTTCTTTTCACTCACTGACAAATTACACTTAAATCCCACGAAGTTGTGTAATCGTATTACCGATAAACATTACTTGAAAGATCAAAACAACTGTTTGGTTGATTTTACTGTGGTGAATAAAAGATCAACATTGTGAAGTTGATGAACGAAAAATCTGTACAAGATATATTTAATTTGTTTAATTACAATATTGTTTTTATGCAAACAAAAGATAACGAAGACAAATTAAATACATGTCACGAATTAAGCTAAGTAGTCATTTGTCTTATCTTCTTCCGGATCTTCTTCTAACTCATCAGAATCCATATCAAGGTCTTGATCAATTTTATCATCATAATCTGAGTTAACCACAACAGTATTTACCGGTTGATCATCAAATGATTGATGATCACTATCTACTGGGTTATCTAACTGTCGATTACGTATCTGACCTTTGTGCCTTCGACTCACAAAGACTGCCACAGAAGCACACGAACTTTCACTACGATGAGACGAAGGTACTGAATCATCGGTGGAACTTTGTGATTCATCTGTATCCGGCGTGCAAAAACAACTCTCTAGACGCACTTCAGGTTTTTGTAGATTTTCTTCAGTGAGACGAGCTCGTTTTCTACCTCGTGTTGGACGAAACAATATGCGATTGTTATGACGTGGATTTGTTGAGCCGACCTCATCATTTTGTACAGTTTCTGTGCTGTCTCGAGATTGTCGAAGTTCATTTATTAGAGCCATAGCGAGTGAGTTATTACTAACATCAGGATCTTCATTAACATCAGCTAAACTATAATGTGTCCATTTACTAGGATCTCGATGTACATAGTTTGGTCGGCGATGTGTTGATGGTGGAAGGGCGTTAGGTTTCCGAAAAGTTGAATTTTGTGTCTGACATGTTCCATGCTCTTTACCACCAGCTGTTTGAACATGATCGCGCTAAAAATAAAATATAGCTTAAAGGAGAGAGAAAAGATTTACAAATATCAAAAAATTATCTGTGGATTAAACAGTAATATCTAGTTCGTTACGATACAACAATCGAACCCAATCAGTATTCACTCAAATAGATATATTCCAAAGCTTATTATTGTATTTTAATACAAGATATTTGATCGCAATTAGCACTTAATAATTCAACAAAAACATTGTATGAATGGCCTGGCTTTTTATTGACACATCGGATAGAGGGTTACACAGCTAAAATATTTATTCATTTTATACACTTCATATTTGTCTACAACGACTATAACTAAATAATAAAATTAAATATCAACATCAAGGAATTTTCCATTGTTCATAGAACACTAATTTTAGTCAAGCAACCATTGAAAACCAAAAGGTACCAGATGGATGTTTAATCATCAGCATCGCGTATCTACAAATTCATCAGGGATCGAATTCAGAATATCCGGGTCTCATGGCAAATAATTAACCTTCAAAAAATAAGTTGGGATCAGATGCTTTACATATCTTAATTTAATAATTCTGCGATAGTGCGTAACTGCCTCAAACTTGATATTCAGTTGAACTCCATAGGTGATGGTTCCTCACTAACACTCCGAGTGCCTCTTGAAATCAATCACTAGCGGTGAGTACATAATTACAATTAGTGTTAGAGTGTGAGCCTTGTTTGATTTTATAGTTTGCATCACGGACTGACTTTGCTCCGATGGCAATTGAAAACGGGGTAATGACGGTCACAGTGATTTTACAACTCAAAATGTAACGTTCCTCAGCCAAACGAACATTAATGAGAACTTGCTAATGTTTTAATTCGTCAGCTAAAATTCTGGTTTCTTTTCAGTTTAGGGACATAAAGTATTGCAAAACACAACTACACAGACGAACGTTTGTGAAGTTCAAAACTCTACATTGTTGTTTCATCGTATATTATGGAGTTAGTCACAATCAACACAGTTGACAACAAATTTACATTAATCCACGTTCCTATTAGCACGACGACATGAAATTAACAACACACACAGGATAAGAATTGAGTTAATCTCGGTAGCAATGAGAGACAGAACAGAGGAGAGTATGTAAAGACACTAAACTCAAGATTTAGAAGACAAGAAATCAATCTGTCTACTAGGTGCAATGGGTTATGCGCTCTGGAACACAACCAGTCCCAAGAAATTGGTTACAATTATTTCACTGGCTCTAATTATATGCCTACCACTTACCAAATTAATTTAGATCAACAATTCAATAACTAAACTGACAATAACTTTTCTCAAACCTATTCCTACTTTAATCTATCATCGCACATCAAGGTAGCCAGAAGTAGAGCATGCACAACATATATCCCAGCACCCTCAGATGACAAGGATTTTCTACCTAACAAACTAACATAGTTGAACATGAATGTCCTCTACTTTTGAAGGTTATGACACTAGACATTGAAGTGACGCGCAATATATTTGCCCTTTAAAAGACGGACGAATATCTCACCGACACTATAGGTGGCGTTAGTTTGTAACAGCCAATAAACAATAATATTGTTAATGTACTTTTCGAGTTTCAGGAAATTTTCTGACGACAGACATGCAGCGGAATCTCTTAGTTTAGTTTATACTACTTGATTGATTGGGATTATCTAAAAAAGTCAGACTCCGAACGTAAGAATTAATTTTTTATAGAGAATCTAAACTACCATGCTGACATGTATACCATAAGATTTACGGATATTAAATAAGGGAAATATAAAATGGTTTAAAAAGTATAGAGAGCTAAACTGTAGCATATTTTTACACAGTCGTTTAAAATGGTGTCCTATAATAGATTGTATCAAATTATTTTGTCTCCTCGTATAACTCAAGTTGAATAAAGCTAATAAAAATTAGTAACTCAGCATAGATCTTGAAATAAAAAGTGAACTGATCTAATGTTATCAAAGAACAACGTCAGATAGATTTTTGTGATTCAACGAAAACATCATATACGGAAACTATATAGATCCTGATATAAGATATGCAACTGATGAACTGACAATTTGACCTGATGGTTTTAAATAGTTATTCTAGGAGTTCCTCTTTTTTCGGTAAAACATTCGGTTATAATAAAAACATAGAACCTGGCATATGTACAGTGGTTTAAGAGTTCCCAAATCGTATACCAGCACATCGAGTTAAATATCAGAGTAGTAGTAACAGTATCAATGGTAGTAGCATGAATTAGAAATGGATTTGGAAATGAATGAATTTGCAGAATAAAAAATTTTCGGATAATTTTAAGACGAAGAACCTAAGGATGCAGAAAAAGTGGATGTATCTGAGGTATTTCTATCGACTCTGAGCCATACCGCTCAAAGTCAATCACCATTATTTATGATAATCAAACTGATCGTAACCAGGTAGTCTGCACCAATCTACGCCACTCGGTTCAAAAATCAGTTGCCTTATGGACTAATGCCACATCTTGTTTTTATATGTTCTAGATTTCTTCCAAACTTGCCTGTAGCTCTTCTAGGGCTACTGCCCGTCCCAAGCCCGGGTAAGGGAGGAGGGTCGGGCGTGGGGTCAGCATCTCCATCCCGTGGTAAAGCTTGCTAAAACAACGCTAACCAGAATAGCTTTCTTCTAATTCGTTCCTGAGTCAGTAGATATTGTGCGTCGAGGTAGGTGATGGGTTTGGTTATCAGTCGATCAAAGAATTTTAGGCTAAGTAAGGGTATAATTGAACACACTTTTCAAATAACATCAAACAATAAAATCTAAAACGCGAAAATGTAAAACACTTACACGTTCTTTCAACTCTGCTAAATTTTCTGGGGCAGTAATTGTATGGCGCCAAGCTGCTTTACGCACAGCTTTACGTTCTTCTTTTGTAGCCTTGTACACTTCAAGATGAGCTGCTTCTAGGCTAGCCAGTGCAGAAAAAACGTCTGATTGCCTTTGACGAAAAGTTTCATTTGAACCTTCAATAGGAGTAAGAACCTTAGTTGAGGAAATTGACGGGAATTTCTCCGGATGTATTTCATCATCATTACTAACAAGATGACCCATAGAACAAGACATCTGATCAGATAGTGGCTCCTGTGTGTGGAATAATTTAAGAAAATCAATGGTGTAACAAACATTCATACTTGGGAACATTAAAAACAAATTCAATTCGCGATGGTAACATAAGATTAACTGCTAGATATTCTTCTATTAAGAGCTCACTAAAGTCATGGATTTCTAATAATTTTAATTTTAAAACACTTCCATATTGATGTAATGTCCAATACGAAAATGTAGATAACATTAAAATAAACTTCAAGATGGGAAATCTTTTTCCAAGAATTCATGTTATATACGGGGTGATTACAATGTAACGTCGAAAGTGAAATTCAAGTAATAAATAATTAAAATGAGCAGTAGTTCAGTGACTAAAGTATTCAGTTTCCAAATACTAAATCGTGGGTTTGAGCTTCACTCTGTCTACTTTGGATCGGATGTTCGGGTAGTTAATTTGACTTTGTTAACTCACTAGGTACTTCAATATTAGCCGCAATAAGTGTGAAGGCTAATGATACCTCTCAGAAGGACAAATTGAAGTACGTAGAGTGGTGTTTGAACTTGGGACTTAGTGGCTAAAAGATGGGGTATTATCAATATCCTTTATGCTTATAATGTGGATTGAAGTCAAGTATATAAACGGGTATCCAGCAAATGAGTGCTCATCAAAACAATCCTAACATTTTTTCAATTCCTGAAGTTTATTTGATCGAGATAAAAGAATAAAATGGTCGTCTCAACTACGGTGATAAACCTATTTAACCTTTATACCACTGAGCTGGTGATAAACAATGGTTTACATTTCTTACATCAGTCAATTCGCATTATTGAGAAAATATCTTCCAATGGCAGATAACTGCCCTACACGCGATACGGTTGAATTTCACTGATAATGACTTCTCACTAGAACTCTGGGAAATAACTCTCTTACCAGTGAGCGTAAAAATTCATATCTGAAGACAATCTATAATCATTGACTTATGTCAACTAGAGAATTACCGAAAAGCAGGAAAAATACGGGACAACCACGTTATTTTAGTTCAATAATCCTTGGTAGATTGCACTGGTAACCAGACATGCATACAGAATCATAGACAGTGAGGGTTACCAGTTACTGGTAACATTTGATGTTTATCGTACTATATTATGAGTGGATTGAAGATAGAAATTCTAAACTACTATATTGCATAACTCAGCAACTAAATAGTATCGCGCCTTTTGTATCGCGAAAATACGAGGATGTGAGGACTGAATAACAGTGAGAATTTTTAAATTAGGAGTAAAACAGCTGTTCAGTCTTGTTTAGTTGGTTTTTTAAACATTATTTTGACGTTATCATTTCAGTTCACTATTGAAAAACCCATTTTTAGATTAAATAAACTTCCACCAGATACCTAACGGGAGTTCATCTTGTTCTCATCCGTTAGAAAGTAATGTACAATTTAGGATGATATCTCTCAAAACGACAACCGTATCCGCCGTGCCTCAACCTGAGATAGGCTTTGCAGCGGATACGTCAACGCAGCTACGACCGACTGTTATCTCGCGAATCTCAATCAATAAACATGGACCTCGCTACACAGTTTATATCGATGGGTTGGTGACTTTAATAACTAACATCCTTCAATGATCTGGAGACTAACAGCCTTTTTTAACTATAGCCTAAGCTAGCCAGTATAGCACAAAATGATGTCTGTTGTAGTTAAAATATCATTCATACAAATACAGACGAACTTTTTGTAAAAACAATAGGTGATAGGTAAAGTTTGATATTTCACTGCTAAAAAGATATATACAAACAAAAATAAATTTTAATAATGAGATGGAGGGGCAAAGTCTGCAATTCGCTTATCACGTTCTTCTTGAATGTAACGCTGTGCTGAAATCATTGACTTTCCTTTATCCCATTCTCTTTGTTTACTACCGTAGGATGGACGGCTTGGATCTTGAGATGCCAGTACATCAGCTAAATTTGTCCTATGTTCAGGCTCAGGAGGGATACTGTTTGTCGATTCACTCAATTTACTATTATTGATAGCAGCTCTATGTTCAGCTTCATCGCGTAATCTACGCAACATAGACGCAACATCTAGATCATCGTTACTCAGACGAATATCAGATTGGGCATCTGCACCTAATGGAGTAGGTGTTGCAGGAACTGCAGCCTCCCCTAGACACTGTGCAGCAGCAGTTGCTACGTCTGGTAAACCTTTACGGGCACGCAAGCGTGCAAGACGTTGACCCATTTTAGCATCTCTTTTCGCTCGAATCGCTTCAGCTCGAGCACGTCCTTCTTCAGTAGCCCGACGAAGTTCTCGTAAGCGATTCATTTCAGCCTCTCTCTGTTCAAGATCTGTAGAAAAAGAATAGAATCCAACACCATGATCGCGTATTTCTCCTTCTCTCAAATGTGCATATGTGAGTGGACCATCTGGTTTAGGTGGACTAGACTGCTTGATGTGACTAGACAGGTCTTTGCGCATACAAACTCGTTTGACACCACGTTCATCTGTATAATCCTCCCATTCTTCATCACTACAACCAGCGGGATAATTATCAGAGTCTTCATCGCTACTAAAAGAAGAGCAAGAACGCGTAGGAGAATCCGGAGGAACTAAATTTAAATTTTCTGTGGCTTTTTGTTCAAAATCAACCAGAATGTCTCCATCATTTTCATCTCTCTTTGTCAAATTAGGTTTCTTTCCAGACATTGCAGCTTCTCGTAGAGCATCGTAGAGTTTCGCTTTAGCTTCTAATGCTCTTCTACTTTTTTCCCATTCTGCATACTCTTCAGCATCGGAGGGTATGTTTTCAGATTCCAACCTTGTACGCTCTTCTAAGATTTGTTCTTTTGAAGTTTTCCACAGTGATACTTTGCCAGGTTTTGATTCAGCAGAACGATTCCTTATCACATTACAGCCATCAGGATGTTTCTCAACTCTTTGTTTAACTTCAATTTGTCTTCTTGATATTTCCGCTTTCAAGTCTACCAGTGCAACTGAGCTTACTTCAATATGATGTCTAGATTTATAAGCCATTACCTGTAAAACGTATTAATCAGAACAAACAATCAACTATTTTTAAAGATACATAGTGAGATTCTATTGTTAAAAAAGTATTTATTTGAACACATAAATATTGGTACAAAGAAGCACCGAAAACATATGCGCCACACAAGTCACTTGATCTATGGATCGTCCACATCCATCAACCCGGTCAAAGTGCCGGACATTCGCTTTTCGTCCTCTCAATGTAGTAAACAACACCACCGCCGCGAGAGGGCAGTGAATAGGACTTCTTTAGCAGTGACTGTATACGCGCCACATGTTGATTTCGGCAATCAGATAGTATCGCCAGCCCTTGAATTTAGTGTCGCTAATAACTAACTACCTGGCACATATATATTTGGTGTCCTCTTGTACCAATATTTGTGTTCAAATAAATAAATAAATAAAACTACCTGGAAAACGAATTAACTTATTTTTCCTTACTTAGTGAAGATGTATGAAACAGATTTTTCTACAAGTCTTAAAAATGTAATTAAATGTTAGGAAGGGGTATTTACATAGTATAAATTACATATCAAAACAACTGCCCACCAACATCAAAGACAGAATTTTTGATACAAACTTTAAGACAGTCCTACTGTATGGAGCTAAAACTTGGAGGACCACTACAACCATCATCAAGAAGGTACAAGTATTTATAAATCGTTTTCTACGCAAGATACTCAACATCCTTTGGCCGGATACCATCAGTAACAGCCTACTGTGGGAGAGAACAAACCAGCTTCCAGATGAAGAGGAAAGTAGTTAAAGTTAGAAGTGGATAGGATATATATTACGGAAATTACTAAACTGCATCACGAGGCAAGCGCTAACTTGGAATCTTGAAGGGAAAAGGCCGAAGGACACACTACATCGAGAATTGGAAGCAGACATGATATAGATGGATAGCAACTGTAAATGATTGCCCAGGACAGGGTTAGTGGGCGGCTTATGCTCCTCCCCGAGGAGTAACAAGCGTAAATGAGCATAAGTCACATATAATGGTTATAGACGTTTAAATTTATGATATTGTAAATGCGTACATGAAGGAACTTACAGATTGCTTAAAGTTAGTTTAATGTATACAAACTTGACTGGTAATTAGTGTAGATCGTATAAAATTTAGTGTATTTGGACATGTTTTATTTGTTTGTGTTAAATAAATATTTAACGTCTTTGTGTTTTGGTTTAATTCGTGCGACTCTAAGGTTTGAGTGGTCAATATCAGTCATCTACCGTTACAACGACTGTCAGTTTTTTCGAATAAGAAACAAATTTTGATCTGGATCAGTTTTCACGTTCTTATTTATATCAAAAAATATAGTGGTTTCCAGTTATAAAGTACCTAGAGTGCTTCTTTTGACTGCAACACTTTACCATCAAAACAAAAGCAATTTTGTATGAACAAGTTATATACAGATTGGATCTATTTTAATTTCTGGAAATTGAGAACTTGCATTAACGAGCGATCATCTAACTTATGTTGATTAAACTTCTAGGTAGACTAAATTTCGAATAATTCTGAGGTCACAAGGTCCTAAGTACAGATAATAAGGCGACAAGTGGCTGGGTATGATAGAAGTAGGCACAGAAAAGCTAGGATTTGCAGACGTAAGTCGCCTTTAGTTCACGAAGTCGGCGATTTTAAACTTGAACTATGTCAGGAACGATACTTCCTAGTTGGATGTCATGTGATAATCCTAACCTGAAGTTAAAGAGCTCAGGTAACAAGAATAAAGAACTTCTGGCGGTGTGGATATTATATATCATTCAATTTATCACTTTACTCATTCCTCTGAAACTACACTCCCTATATTAATCTTTTTCAATTATCGACAGTTCTAGTCATTATTTTGGGCTAGGACAGCATTGTCCCAAGCCCAATTCTAATTATGATCGAGTGGTTTGCTTTTGTGTTATTTACAGTGTTAATATGCAGTCTGTTGACTTATATTGGTACTCGCACTAAAGATCTTAGGTTGCCTATGGCTGATCATAAAGATGAATAATGAGTACCTGGCAATCTTGATGAATGATATGTGATGCAGTCATTTTATAAAATAGCACACCGTGAATTTTAATATGATCAAAATTATTTAGGAAAACAACATTCGCTAGTGCAATACACCTCTTGATGACATCCTATGTCAAGAACATGTATATCGATAGAGTTAGCCGGAAGGTTCTTCACCTCGAGATACGTGGATAGGTATATCCATGTACTAGGATTTGAAGCATAAAGATACTCAACAGTTGCTTGACAGAGCCAAGGCCACCTTAGTCTCTCTAGCTTTAGTGTGAAGCGGTAGCTTAGTGGCTATAGCAATTACCTTGGATAGTTGGACCACTGGGAAAAATTTTAGAGGTCATGAGACTAACTGACCTAAGATATCACGTACAACTCATGAGGCGAGTGGCAATCCAATCTGTAGATTTTGTTCTTGAACGGTTTAAAAAATGTTATGGGTTCCAATATTTATTCCATGTATCATCTGTCTGAATCGTTTCGCTAGATTCGGCATTCACTTCATATTTTACTTGGTTATCCTTTTTAATTTAACACAACTTGACACCACATAAGTACCTAAGCTATATTAATAACACCAGTTGACACGATTTTAGAGCAGTCAGAAATCAGATTAAAGAGAAAGAGAGAAAGAAAGAAAGCGTGAGTAAAAATACAAATCAATTATGCTAATAAATATCATTGCATAATTTTCGTCTTCATTGGCAAGCCAAGTTTTTATATTTCAGGGTTTCTCCAAGTCCTGTTTGACAACAGTGTATAGAATGGCACGTGCATAGCACTTAATAACAGATAAGCCCAAAATAATTCACCTTACTGAAACAGCGCATTACAAGTCCAAATATTCCGACTAGTGGGTTGGCAGAGTTACCCAACTTGTTAAATAATCTCAATCATTTGATTAAAACTTCCAAAAAACGCCCAGAATAGGCCATTATTGATGTCTTACGTTACAACCTATGGTACTGAATATTGAGAATATTCCCAAAATCCAGTTAGAATTGAATGGACTATAGTCCACTCAGATGAAACAGACTATATATATATCCGAGTATTGGACAAGTAGAGTATTCGATCAAACAACTGCCCATTTAATCAGCAGTTTTTTAGGTAGAGACCGAACATAAACATAAATGCATATTGTTTGGATAAAAACAGGTAAAACGTGTTATCCTAATTGTTGGAGTTTGGATGGAACTGTATAGTTTTCTCTACCGCACAGGAAAGATGACATTTTGATGTTATTTAAGTTTGTTATCAAACAGTATACACACTTTCAAGTCCCATAGTTTAAAAATAACGTAACAAACAAACCCGAAACTACACCAAGTGGCGCACTAGTTGAGAGTACCGCGTCTGTTTAGTACCTTAAGATGTTTGAGGACGCAGCAAAGCGTTCGCGTAAAAATCCCTCATATGCAATGACAAGTGATCATCAGTGTGTTTATTTAGACTTCAGGTATATGATAATTAATAATAGCAATCAGCTCTGTAAATTGGTACTACAGGTTTGGTAGAGTAGGAGAATTTTGCTCTTTAGGATCTGAACCCTGGTAGTTCGAGAGAGATATTAGTTATAGGGAAGTATTGTTCATGTCGTGTTTCCTCTAAAAAAATAAAGGTCAAGATAATTTGATTTATATTAAAGGTGGTCGAATAGCGAAGTCCTGTAACAACTCAGGTTAATTGATTAAGATTTAGCCATAAACATCTTAGAGATGTCAAAACATTATGTACCAAGTATTTATTCACTTCCGTGTTTTACATAAACATCAAATCTATTACTATATGTTATGTGCTGAAAAATCTCGCGCTCCATTGTGTTCTGTTTCACGATCTAAATAACGACCTATTCACGGCTAGTCTGGTTTCTCCTATCAATAAAACGAGGAGTACTCAGTGACACGAAAGTTACATCACGATAGCTTTCTATCAACATTTTCATAACATACTGATTCTGAAGACGATAAAATTGCACGGGTTTTTTGTGACTTTTTCTTATTCCACTTTGAGTGGACGTCCTCTTGAGTATGGCTTACTAATGAAACATTTCATTGATCTAATCGGGTGAGAACTGTGAGAAATTTGGTGTGTAGATTACTAATGAAGGGGATCTATTTGGATGTTCACGGTCAACTTGAAGTGAGTGGGGATGATGTTAAGTCACACCTCAAGATCAGAACGTAATCTGGATTACTGTTTCTTGGTATCCGGGTAAAGTGACTACTTTGATGTCCATATCGAAAAAACATTACAATAGTTTTAGCCTCCAAACGAAATAAGTTTGGAATGATAAATAACTGTTTAGGTTAGTTTAGGTACACGCTATAGCTCAGTTGAAACCAAGACAAGGTGACTGAGTAAATGACGGTTCTAGATCTCATTGTAAATATAAATGTACAGCATTACCTAGACAAGTATTGCTGCTTAGTTATTCAACCAACAATTGCTTAATCAATAGACAAATCAAGTGCAACAAATAAACGTAGTTCAGGAACTACATGAAAATTCCTTTGACGATCCCATATTGTAATAGATGTGGGTTAAGAGTATCTAAATGAGCTGAGTAGGGTTTGCTTTCTAATCCGAATGCTTTATGGTCGCTCTCCTTGGCATGTATTTCAAGGGAGTAACATACTTCTTGACGTTATCTAGTTTGTGCTCTTTATTCACACATACCTTGTTTTTTCTTCGGGTTTCTAACCTCTTAACAGTGTTTAACTCCCTAATGTTCTTGGTTTGTTTTGCAACCATTTTACTTTTACTTGCACTACATTATGGCGACTCCCATATTTGCTGACTGTATTCTTGGTTGGTTTTGTCTGATAAAACCAACCAAAGCAATCACTAGCAAATAAAATCTTTGTTTCCCATTTGTAATAATTATTGTTTCTCATAGATGATTTTTTGCATGTTTCTCATATTTTTGTATATATATTACATGTGACATGACGCAGTCACTGCAGTTAACCATAAGTCATGACAATTACTTACTTACTTACGCTTGTTACTCCTCGTGAAGGAACATAGGCCGCTCATCAGCATTCTTCATCCAACCTTTTCCTGGGCAATCCCTCCCAGCTCCTTACAGTTGTGATTCATTCGTTTCCTATTTGTTTTTATTTCACGACGTAATGTGTTCTTGGCCTTCCACTTTCCAGCTTCAATTCAGGATCCCAAGTTAGGGCTTGCTTTGTGATGCAGTCTGATGATTTCCGTAATGTATGTTCTAACCATTTCCATCGTCTTTTTCTAATTTCTTCATCTGAGAGCTGGTTTGTTCTCTCCCACAAAAGGCTGTTGCTGATGGCGCCTGGTCAATGGATATTGAGTATCTTGCGTAGACAGCTATTTATAAATACTTGTACCTTCTTGATGATGGTTGTTGTAATTTTCTAAGTCTCAGCTCAGTACAATAGAAGTGCCTTGACATTCGTACTGAAGATTCTCACTTTGATATTGGTTGAAAGTTGTTTTGAGTTCCATATGTTCTTTAACTGTAGGAATGCTGTCCTTGCTTTGAAAATCCTTGCCTTTACGTCTGCATCTGAACCTCCTTGTTCATCGATGGTGCTTCCCAGGTATGTGAAGGATTCTACATCTTCCAGAGTTTCGCCATCAAGAGTGACTGGATTGCTGTTCTCTATTTTGAATTTGAGGACCTTGGTTTCCTCGTTGTGTTTGTCAAATGAATAAACTATTTACGTATTCTATTTTAATGTCTCTTTGTTAATGCTTCTTTGTTTTTCTTGCAACTGTTTCATCATATGTTTCTCCTTTAAGCATTTTACCGTATTGTAAATATCGTATTAGGTTATTCTCATTAAAATTTGTCTTAGGGCAGTTGACAATTATTATCTCCCTTTTATGTGTGCAGTGACTTTGTGCTCTACCCTGATTGGTAGTTTAGTATACACCTCAATTTTATTGGTCATTCTAATGAATGTCAATTAATGAAAATGCTCATCAGACCTGAGAACTCAATACACATATAAGGTGTGTTTTAAATGAAAGGCAATTCAAAATGTTTGGTATTATCAAGACAAAGAAGTGCAGTGCATAGAGATGAAATGTTTCACACTAAATAACAGTCTCGCACAAGAGACTGTTAGGTCTCGGGTTCGAATCTCACGAGGCAAGATCGTGAATGCGCAATTTATCCCCCTGTCCTTCCTAACTACCTCTAAACAAATTTCATATCTTTTTTAAACACAATGTAAGCTTTGCGGTCGATAGTAGTGCAAATAATAAGTTTCCTTATTTCTATAGTCTATGTCGTTTGAACGCACTACATCTTGTCCTACGGATTTGCCGCTGTGTTCGTAAAGGAAATACGTCACAGGGTTTTTTCGTTTATTGGTTCACTTTTATAGTGACTCATTTACCTAATGCATTAAAGTTCAGATAATGTTACACAATCAAAATGGTCAGAGTATGTACAATCGTCAGTCGTTGCATCCAGAGAAAGAATACGGTTACCCCGGTGTTTCTGGTCAGCACGTTTATGGTGCTTCTAACTCAAATGTGACAGATAATTACCCGCAAGGTCATCCTAACAGCGGCTTCCAGCCACCACCTAACTACTATTCTGGAAATCAGGGACAGACCTTCCAACCACAATCTCAGCCTCCATATTATTCCGCTCAGTCAATACAGAGCGTTAATCAACCACCGTTGCCACCCATGCCTCCTATCCCAAACCATCAGGATTTTGTTCAACGTCCTCAGCAGCCGCGTCTTCCTCCAATGCCACCAATGCCTCCGGGACATGAGGGAGTTCCACCACCCAGTTATCGACAACCTCAACCTCCAGGTCCCTTTCCATTGCCAAATGGTGCTAACACCCAGATAAATACATTACATTCTCAACAGGCATATCAAAACGGTCCAGTATCCAGACAACCACAGTTCTCTCAAAGTATAAATGCAGACAGATTACCCAGTCCTATCGAGGTATTCAAATTTCATAGTTTTTGTTTTATAGTTATTAGTAAATCTCATAGTCTAACATGTTTATTATGCCTCATGTACCGTCCACATTTGGACACTTTCCCGTTTATAGTGGTGATATATATCGCTAAGTGGGGGGATACCGTGGCAAATTTACATAGGGATGTGATTTTGGAATTTGCATTTATTACTACTTAAATCTAAACCAGGCATCTCGTAACTAACTTGTTTCACCCTCCCATTTAACTCACAATAGTTGGAACATTATTTAGACCTGTTTCTGTACCTTTTTTTCTCAAGGTGTTCAGAACTTATATGTTTGCCAATAGCTAACAATTATTTCCTAAACATATACTTGAAATCGTTCCAGAGATCGGTATTTAAATAACCTTAACGTTCAAATGATGATGAATATTCGTATAGATAGCCAACCATGTTCTCCGTGCATTTATTGGTTGGCGTAAGGATCTACACAACATGGTTTTTCATTAGTCAATTCGATTTGTAAAAGAGCTTAGTTAAGTAAACTAATAACAAATGTTATCATTTGAACATCTTGTGCATATCGGGTCGCCACTTTCCTCATCGAAGCAAGACATCGAGACAAAAATAGTAGAGCTAATTTAAATAAACAAGATAATTGGGGCAATAAAAGTAGAATAATACGATGTCAAAAGTCAATAAAAATAACCAACCATTACATGATAATGACTCAGACAGTAGCTCATAACTTTTTGTGATGGTTTAACTGTCGCATATTAAAGGGATTTCATTAGTTCTAGCGGATTTATGGCAAAACAACTTTGAGATATATATATATGGAACTGATCTTCGTCGTCGCAAATGGAATCTATACCTATCTGTCATAATATGTACTAATATTTCGACTTTACTTCAAGTTCTGTGAATCCGAGTGTAATATACTAGGTCCATTGTTTCCCATAATTAACTTCAAAATCTAATAGTGAACTCCTTTTAGTGGTTGCGTATAGGTTGATTATTCTTCTGTTGTAAACTTAATTCTGGGCTATATTCACTTAGTTTGGGTATTTTATTTTTACATACGTATTTCTAACAGCTTAATAAAGTGCACCTTTTAAAAACCGAATTATTTGTCATACGTCTTAAGTGAGGTAATCCCTGTAAACTGGGTTAGTCCAGCTTGTGAATAAGAACCTACACGTTTTATTAAAGCACGCAGTGTATATAGTCGTCATTGCTAGTGGACGGTCTAAGATTTTGAAGTTAATGTATGATACGAATCTGTGTGGTTGTGTGTGTTATTGGTATGCACTTAACAAAGTAGATATGTAGTATTTCTATAGTAAACGTTATTAGTAGGAATGGTTTGAAAATTTTATTTAAGTAACTGAAAAGTCTCCAGAAATAATTTTGTTGCATCGTAAGTTGACAAGTGAATGGCTTTCTTATATCACTTTCGGCGATTTCGACTTTTTGTTATATGATGTTATTCTTTTCATAAGCTTGTCATAAAGCTTTGTTACCCCTGGTTATAAATGTTCACTATCTTTGATTTTAACTTAACTTACGATTGACCTATACCTTCAATTCTTTTTTAGGTTATTGAGAGCAATCGAGCTCAGTGTACTGGACCTTTTTATACAGGACAACGAGGTGTTGTGCCTCCTCTAGTCACAACTGACTTTATATCACGTGACCAGGGTACATGTGCACCTTGTTTCATTCGATCTTCACTATACTCTGTTCCGAATTCATCAGATCTCCTTAAAACTGTTGGGATCCCGTTTTCACTTACAATATCTCCATTTGCAGTACAACATACAGAAGATATGAATGTTGTGATAAGCGATATGGGTCCACAAGTAAGTTGTTATAAAGCAAAACGGTACTGGAATTTGTAACGTAGTGATGTACCTTATCGACTAAGAAGTGTACATATTCAATTTATTAACTTGTATTTTTATTAATGTGTGTATAAGGATTTATGATTTTTGCTAGTTGTCTTTAGTATCCTTTAAATGGGAGCTATCTAAAAAATGAGCTGAAATGAAACCATACCTTTAAAACAAATTTGTTAGACTTAATAATGACGGGAATCTATTTTTGTTAGTACGATTTAATCAGTTTAAATACATTTTGTTTATGCACGGTAATTATTTCTGTAGATACACAATAGTGGCTAGCATTGTTCGTTGTTTGACGTAATTATACATGAGACTCATTTCTGATTTATTCAACTTTGTTGTTATTCGTTTATTTGTTCTTACAGTTTTATTTTACGAAATCATGTGTAAAGAAATAGATTATTCCTTGACAAAAATACAAATCTGTAATTCAGTCCAACTTTGAATATGTTCTCTTATTTATCCACAGCTTAGAGCAAATTACTAAGACATTCCTGTTTTTCCTTTGATCAATAATTTTGGACATATATACTATGGAGTCCACTTTCATTAAGTTGTTCTAACAATTGTTGATATAATCCAAGATGTGCGCGGATTTAAACATTTTGACGATTCTTTTCAGCAATGTAACGAAATGATATATAACTTAGTGACCCAATTAAGACTTGTATTTCAGCAAACCAACAAGATGGATAAGTGTAAATGTGAAATTTTTTTTTCTACAAGAATTACGTATGCAAAAAACGCATGAGTTTGTTAAGAATCTGGTAGGCCTACAGTACTTTAATAGGCTTAAAAAAGGATAAGATAATCAGATTTATATAAAAATTTACGCACTTATTATTCCTCTCAAGCACTTGTTTAACTATCGAAAACTAATTAATGTAAATCATCCATGAAGCACAGTTGAGTTCACTTGATCTTCAGCCATACATTTTGTGTATGAGGATCAGTGAGGTAGGTAAGAAAACCATTATCTACAACATTGCCACCTTCCCACAACAGAAGAGAGTTAGAAAAGATAGCCCCCGCAAATGACTTGGCTCACAATGCTCCACAGATTTCCGTCGTCGACGGTAAGGCCTTAAAAGTACGGAGCTAACATATCAAGAACTGGCAAAAAGTTCATGTGCTGCTGACCTTAAGCAATTGCCCCTTGGACACTCCAGTTACTCTCCTAGGTCTTCAAGAGCACTACTTATCCAATTTTCTTTTCAGGTATCTTGAAAAGTATCGTTCTACAGTACGGACAACAAGGTAATGATAACCACCCTCATACGTCTAACAGCACTCGGAATCATTTTGTTCGTAATCAAATTGCAGTTTCATTACCTAGTAATTTTCCTGTTACGACCTAAGATAAAGTTTAAACCCCCAACTCAGTGACTAAAAGTCAGGTTCTAAATGAGTACCACCCACTGTTTTCTAAAGGCTATTTCTATCATGCAAGTCAGGTTTATATATATCTAATCAATATCGATTTATTTATTTAAGCACAAACATTGTTACAAGAGGGCACCGAATACATATACGTCACACAAATCACTTGATCTGTGTGTGGAATGTGATATTGCCCGTGTGCCTAGATCGGAGTAGGCGGTCTTCTTAGTGGGCCACAGCCGGAACCCTCAATCTAGAGGTTCTTATCCACAAGGCAGTGGAGCAACGTCAGGAGATACAGTCTCATAGTATCCGGTGACCAACAATAGGTTCGTATGCCATCTTTTCATTCAGGATCCCGGAGCCCATGTCCACCATTGGTTTGGAATCAGGTTTTCGCAACCCCTTTAGGTGGACCCTCCGTGTCTATTAAACTGGTTAAAGCGTCGGACATTTGCTTTTCGTCCTCTGAATTTCGTAAACATCACCCTCGTCGTGAGGAGGTAATGAGTAGGACTTCCTCGGCAGTGGCTGTTTACGCGTGTCCATCTGAGGCCATTTCGAGAGGGAGAATTGACTCTCCACACCTCAGATATATGTAACAGTCCCTAATAATTCAGATAAAATCTTAACCATTTTCGAATTGGCCTCTAGATATTTTATTTTGTGTAATGGATAATAGAATTGAATGTTTTATGATCGATAGTCCTATGCGAAATATTGTTGCAGTCTGTAACAGTAGGAAGGACTTGTGGTGTTGAAACAGTTTCTGGTTGATTGATTTATTTACTTGTCCTACAGACAGATTTTGATGATGATAAGTGTTTTTCCCTTAGATTCATGTGATCCTGTCCAGATGTGTAGTAGTTTTCAAATATTTGTCCTTATTTTATAGGGTCCAGTTCGATGTGTTCGATGTAAAGCCTACATGAATCCCTTCATGAATTTTATTGACGGTGGTCGAAGGTTCCAATGTCCACTTTGTAATGGTTTAACTGAAGTTGCCGCTGAATATTTTGCTCATTTAGATCATACTGGACGTCGAGTTGATGCAGGTCAAAGACCTGAACTATGTTTAGGCAGTTACGAATTATTAGCAACAGCGGAATATTGCAAAAACAACCAATTACCTTTACCTCCGGCCATCATATTTCTACTAGATGTTTCCCAATCTGCTATCCGTTCAGGTTTAGTACAGCTATTCTGTTCCCAGTTTGTAGAACGTATTCTACCAAATTTACCTAGGTAAGTGATAATGATTATTTCACACTTATTATTACAATATAACAAGCAATAATTGAGCCTATTTAGTAAGATTACAATTTCATTGGGTTTGTTAGTGGTCTACAAGACCCGCAGTCTGTAGTCACTTGCGTTTCAAATGACATCTAATCATATTCATTTTTATGCGTAATCTGTTGTATATACAAACGTCGTTTTAGTAAAAAGAATTCTCATTCTAATAGCAAGTATTATCTTTTTGTAATTGTTACCTTTAAGGTTTCCGTCAATAATTCTCTATCGTTAGCATTTATTAGTCAATAACATCTTATTGTCATACAGTCTATGGACCAGATTTCTATCCATCGTTTTAACTAAAAATTAGTTCATCATAAATACTTTAAACCCTCCATAATGGAGTAAAGTTGAGGGTGGTCAGTTAGTCAGTCAGTCATCATCGACGTAGAGGCCGAGAAAGATATACAGTTGTCCAAGCTACCATAATGGATCATGTTGTTAAAATGATGACGTATTTCTTCTTTGTATTATTCATCAATATCAACACATTTGAAGCATTTAAAAAAATTAAATTCTCTTGTTGAAAAATTGAAAATCCAGTGAAAAACCTGATCCTCACACTATTTTCTCCAACTATTTGAATGTTTTAATATTTTTCATTGTTGCCAGTAAATACTTGTCACAAAATAGGGGTTTTATATAAGCGAAACATGTGTCAAGTTTAAGGTGACCGTTTTGACATTCGGTAAATAAAGATGGAACAAATCGAGAGAAGAAATTTCTTTCCAACTAATTTTCGTTTCGTTACTTTCGATTCGTTACTTCTATTTATAGCTTATATTAATTTGTCCTGGTCAACCTATTTGATAAGATAAAAGTTTTGAGGAAATGCTCAGTTACTGAACGTACCCTTAATCATTGATTTACTTTTCAGTGAGAACATCACACATATTTCAAAATTATTGTCATCAGCAACTTATAGATCTGTTTTGTCGATTTCTTTTAGAATACATGAAATGTAGGTTTCATAGTTCTGGTGATAAATATCAAACTAAATATCACACATCTACTATATATAATTATTGAGCTCAGTAATTCACACTACATTGTTGTCAATCAGATTTAAAACTGGGAGTAACTAAACCCCAGCAACTAGGTTAAGTATTTTTATTGTTGATTTCGGTGAATTAATTTTCAGTTTGAATTGTTCCACTTACTATGCTTTGCAATTTTTTATGAATCATATTTCTTTTTATTTGCGATGAAGACAACATTCTGTCTTTCTAAAAGTTTTATACGATTCTTTTTAAAGGTTCTTTTAAAAGGGTAACTAAGTAGTCTTACAGTATTTTGTGTTCTTAATATAGGGAAAAATTTGCATCACCAGATATGGTTAATCCAATTCGATTAGGATTTATTACATATGATCATCAACTTCACTTCTATACTGTACCTCGTGAGTCGTCGTCATCCGCTCAACAAACATCCGAATCTACAGATCAGAACACTTATAACTCTTATGGTAAACCTCAAATGTATATTGTAGCGGATATTGAAGATGTGTTTGTGCCTACAGTTGAAGGTTTCTTGATACCACCTGATCCTGTTATCATTTCTAGTATTTTAGAAATGATACCTACTCAATTTTGTACAGAGAATGCTTTAAATAGACAACCTACAGATAGTGTATTAGGCCCAGCTATCCAATCTGGAATGGAAGCTTTACGTGCTGCAAATCGTTCTGGAAAATTATTTGTCATACATGCTAATTTACCGATTGGTGAAGCACCGGGTAAATTGAAAAATCGAGATGATCGCCGTCTTATAGGAACTGAAAAAGAAAAGGTAAATGTCATTTTCACGTCTCCTACTTTTGAAATCATCATGGAATACTGTAATGATTTCGCCAATTATTACTGTTATTGTCGTTTGTTCTTTTACTGTTAAAGGTATAACATAATAGTGGATGTCATTTATGTCGTAATTCTTTCAAGGGTAGTGTAAACCTATAACTAATATACTTGTGTAAATCTTCGTCTGATCTAAATTCTGAATTCCAAACACCAGTTTTAGCTTGTTAAAGTACCTATGACTAGTACGTCCTAAAATACGTGCTCATGTATTGTGGCACAACAGAGTAAGTCGTATTATATGTAATATACATTGGTTTTCAAGGGAACCAGACGCCATCCAGACTTTCACGTGACAACCCTAACAGTACAGCTCAAACCCACCCCACAGGAGAACCGGACACCGTATAGGCTTTGACGCTACAGTCTGAATAATACAGCTCAATCCTGTGGCGCAATCACACAGGTACCAAGCACCCTGGTGAACCATTCGCACCATTCATATACACATATTCACATCACATGTATAGTTATTCCGATCAATGATCGTGCGAATCAATTATGCACAGCAGAAACAGGCCAAAGTTGACCTATTCCACTTACACGACCATCAAACTCATTAATGTGACATGCCTTACAATGTCTCAATGACAATGGCCCTTGAGAACACTGAAAAGCAACCACCATTATGAATGAAATCGGTTGACCAGCAAACCAATTTTGTGCATGGACAGTCAGCAAAACTTGCCAAAGCAATGCCGAACCATCCACAATACCAATGGCGAACCTCCAGCTGTATATGAGACCTTCAGCTCTACATAGCCATATAGCCCAGCCTGAAGCGTTAGGGCTTAAATAACGCTTAAAACCCATTGTCTAGTGTCGGAATACCACAACTAGACCACCAAGATGATTTTTTTATCACATTTGCGAAATTTTCATTTTTCCGATTTTTCAAACCTTGAGTCAGGGGTAGTATCCTGCTTCGGTTTGGGCACCCGAGCAGTATCACAGCCTTCACACATCGAATGAGATTTGTGTGGCGCATATGTATCTGGTGCCTCTTTGTACCAATATCTATGTGTTGAAATAAATAAATAATAAATAGGGGTAGTATCCCTAACAGAGTAAGTAATGCAGTTGAATATAGAATTTTTACATAAGTACTGTCTAGCAGCTTTATCTTTGTCCAGCACTGATTGGTCGGAAGTGGACCAATCAGCGTACCCCAGTTTGACTTGGGACTTTACTCCGCCTACAATTTCATTGTTAAAGAGCTCAGGACTTGATGTAAATGTACCAGGGTGAAATTATGATTTGTGGATAAATCAATCAGATTTAAGATAGTACGAGTTGGATTTTTAAGCAAAAATTTATTTTCAAAGTTGAATTCACGGGTCAATTTAAGCTAGACTACCATTAAAGCAGCCTTAATCAATATGGTTAACTGTCTCCATTTACCTACAAAGAGGGTGGTTCGATAATTAATTTGTTCTAATTTCAGTCACCAAGCTACAGGTTCGAATTCCACCCTATCTATTTCTGTTTGAGCAACTAGGATATACTATCACTAGATTTCTCATACTTAGAGTGTGGTTATACCCGATAACAAGTTAGTAATAATAATAATAATAATAATAATAATAATAATAATAATTCCATATTAACAGCTGTTCAAGATTACTTTTATTCACCTCTTATTTATTCATTTATTTTTACAGACTTTACTTCTTCCAGATAATGATTTTTATGTTGGACTTGGTCAAACATGCGTAGAAGTTGGTTGCAGTGTAGATCTTTTTCTTTTCCCTAATTCATTTGTTGATATTGCTTCTTTAGCCGAAGTGCCCAGATTGACATCTGGTCATTTATTCAAATATAACTGTTTCCAGGTAAGTAAAAATATTTTAGTGTGGTATGTAGTTAAATTTTTCTGAGAAAAATTGTTGTCTTGTGTACTTAACTAATATTAGTGTGTTTACAATTCCATTATCGAAAATTAACTAATAAGGCGTTGAATTGACTAACAGGTAACCTAATAATGGTTAAAACGCATAAGTTTCAATTATTGAAGTTATGAGTTTCGAATCGTTACAGTTTTATACCCCTTTTTATCGTGCACTATTAGTAATCTGTCAACGTCATATAGTTCCTTTTTCGCTTTCTTATTAGTGTATTCTGTTCACTGTACACCCCTGATGCATTTCATCGTTTTTTCTTTCTTTTATTTTGGGTCACCCACTAGATATCTACTTGATAGTTTTTATAATGTCTTTGTCGAGTTAGTATAGTCACGTATAAAGACCGATATTCTGCCTTTTCACAAAGTTTGGATGTCGATTGTTAACCGAGTTGTTGTTTGTAGTTATGTCTTATTATTGTATTAGGTGTCTGTACTAATATATTCAGTGTGCACTCTATCCTCATAAATTAGAATTCGGTTAATCCACACGACACTGATACGGGGAGGAAGTTACCATACTTAGCCTTTTGAATATATGATCATTGTCCTGACTACGTGTTGTGGAAACCCTAGCAACTTGTGGCAATCTAAGCCATCTTTGGTAATGTTAATCTGGCTGTAAAGGGTCAGGTCTACAACACATCGGTGAAGAATTTCTGCTCTGTGGTTGTAAAAATTGGCCTCTCCGAGCCGAGGATTTTCTGTATTCAGTCATTGTATTCGATGGCGATGTCGGTAAACCGAGATCCTTTTCAAATTTTAGTCATGTCTTAGGCTTCATAACATCGTCCCCAGATTTACTGTGTTGATATTATTATACTTCAAAAGATTTGATTGTTGATCTGTTCCATCACTTCACCATTATAAACTTCTTTCTTTTGTGTATTCAATAACTAAAATGAGATTGTTTAGTTCATCATTATCATTCTGAAATTCCACATAAAAATTTATATCTTAATGTGCCTCAGATAACTTTCATAATTTTGAATGTTAGCTTGTCGAATCATACCTTATTTAAGCATATAGGTAAAAATATGATAATGTCTGAAAGTATTCATTCATTGATTGTTTGCTCAATGTTGTTAGGGACTGATTCTTTTCATAGTTGAAGCTTCATAATGCAACCGAGTGTGGGGAGAGTTCATCCTCCCTCTCACAATGCTGTCATACGTTTGTGTGTTTATACTATATGTCAGGAAAGTTCTAGTTACTAACTTTAAACAGCAGCCATTTTTTTACGAAAGCTTGGAAACTGAAAGCGAATATCTGGCGTTTAAATCGGTTTGATGTGGGTAAGAAATCTAATTCCAAACCAAGCTTTAGGATCCTAAGGGGAAAAGGGGTATTTGTGCTTATTTCGGTCACCGGATACCATGGGGTGGGATGTTTTGACGTTGCTCCAGTGTTTTGTAGATTAAAACTCTTGGTTCAAAGGTTAGAGGGACGGCTCCTTAAGAAAACCTGTTTCAGCTTGGGCACCCGTTCACTAACCCAGCTTACACAATTTTGTCAAAATACATTGTCTTGTATTCTCGGGAATTTAATTTTATCGTTTTCATTATTATTAAATTATTGTTTTATAATGTGGATGATAAAAACGATGAAAACTTCTTATTATTAATACTTACAGGCTGACTTACAAGGTCATCAGTTTATAGCCGATCTTCAACGTACTTTGACCAATCTACAAGCTTTCAACGCTGTTATGCGTGTTCGAACAAGTACTGGTATTAGACCTGTTGAATTCTTTGGTAATTGTTACCTACCTAATACAACTGATATTGAGTTGGCTAGTGTTAGTTCAGATATGGCAATCACAGCAGAATTACGTCACGATGATAAACTTCAAGAAGGTGACCACGTATTCATTCAAGTAAGTTCTTATTATTAGGAATTTTGTCGTAAAATTTATTCCGGGAGAATACTTTGACGAACTTAGTAGTGTATAATTTAAGATAGCCAGTCATAAGCAACATTAAACCTGGGACATAGACGCGTCGATTCAAATTCCCACACCATATCGATAGGGAGAGAAGCAATTATCAAGGCATATATATATATAGGTATACACCTACTTCTCGCTTCGGTCGGCGGATACAAAGTTTCTTTTTCTCACTCAGTTTTCTCTTTCAAGTAGTCAATTGAACTCGCAAATAGTAAGGTCATTTATCAATAGTCTCAGAATCGAACATAACGCGTTTTGTTACTACGTCTGATTTTTTGAAACTGAGAAATGCTCAAAAATTTCTCAGATTTTATACTGTAGGTAATAATGGGATTAATCAGACGAAAGTAACATATTAATTTTTTTAATGATTTTAAATAAATTTAAAGTTTCTTATATCTACATTTCAAACAGGTTGCATGTCTTTATACTTCAGTATCTGGACAACGAAGGCTACGTATTCATAATCTGTCAATTCCAGTGACAAGTATGATACCTGATGTATTTCGTCTTGTCGAATTAGATGCACATATGAATTGGTTGAGTAAATATTCAATGCGTTCTCTACTTAACCGTACACATTCACAAGTAATGGATGATTTAACGACAAGAGCTGCTAACACCTTGGCTGCTTATCGTCGTCATTGTGCTTGCGGTCCGAATGATGTAAATTCGAATCCTAGCGAATTAGTATTACCACAAAATATGAAAGTATTTCCTTTGTACATACAATGTCTTATGAAAACCGAAGCTTTCAGTCCTGGTTTGTTGTGTTTTGTTAATCAATTAATTAATTAATTATTATCATTATTATTATTAATTATTGCTATTATGTCGAAGGTATGCTTATTTCCTGACGTCCTTCAGCATCTTAAATGACTTTAAGAAAATGAAATCACCTTTTAGCTAATTAGATCACATATAATCTGAATGAATAACTTTCTACATAAAAATTTCAAAACGATTAGTGTTAAGACTTTTGAAGTTTAATTCAGACTAAGGTTTAAAGTTAAATTTGTTTGGGTTAGATGTTTGCATTTAGATTAAGATTTAAGATTAAAAGTTTGTAGTAGTGATTTGATTTTTTTGTAGTCATTACTAAATACTTAAACAGTTAGTTTTATGATTCACTTGGTATTGTTTTACTTGAATCTTCCCACTGATGTTTAGGACTGCAATTAATCAGTCTCTTATTGACATATGTGCATACTGTGCGGATTGCCTCGATGTTGCCTTAATTTACAAGCATTATAAGCAAAGATGGATAGTGGATAGCAGTGGAATCCAGGACGCGCGTTTCATCCTATTTGGATGTACCTGCATCTCAAAGTTGATGTCTGCTCCGGGACTCGAACCCAGTGCCGTTCGCTTCAAACGCCATCGCGTTATCCACTTAGCTACTGGGTCCTGATAGGACGAAACTCGCGTCTTGGATTCCACTGCTAACCACTATCCATCTTTACTTAGTTTTATACTTCAAATTACCAAGAATCTTTAAATTTCAATAGTTGAGATCATGAGTCAATTGAAACTAAACCAACATGAAAAACCTGGAAGCACTGGACGGCCGTTTCGCTCTAGTACGGGACTCCTCAACGGCGTGCACCCACGATCCTGCCCCTCGCGAGATTTGAACCCAGGACCTCTCAGTCTTGCACGTGAGCGCTTAACCATTAGACCACTGAGCCGGCGTCCAACGGTGTTAATTTCTAATTTCTGATAATAATCTTTAAATTATTTATAAAAACTTATAAATCGTGTTAAAATGCTTATTTACAATTAGAATTCTATTTGTTTGTATTATTTTCTTATCATGGAAGGAAGAAAAAAACTTGCCGAATTTCGTCTTTCTTATTCAGTCACCATCATGTTTATATCAATTTGATAAGTTTTACATACTTCTTATTTTACTCACTAAAAATACAAACTATCCATGATCATATTTTGAAGGGCGAGCAAAAATCTCATAGTTGCTGTCTTAAATCTGATTGACTAGTCTGTAAAGTATGAATTACTACTACTATTATTATTACTACTGCCTGAGACTTGGTGGTGTCCGTAATTCAAGATAATTCATAAGTGAGAGGACTTGTAACTGTGAGGTAAATATGCTGATAATGTTATACTCTCTTTAGTCTCAGTTATCATCATCATCATCATAAGCACAAGTGATTGACAGCTTGGAATTCGATAATGTATATATGTATTTTACAAGGTAAGGTTTAGCACCTGCGAAAAGAACTCGTTGAGTTCAGTTTGAAAGTGTTACACGGTGTAACATCTCACAACTTCACACGGAATCAAACTCACTGCCTTAAGGTCTGGTAGCTGTCATGTTACTTTCAAAGGCATTAATTCTGCTGAATATATAAACTTGTATTATTAATATTATTATTATTTTTACCGTTATTACTATTGTTATCAATACCTTTTTTATTTTTAACCTAGCTGACGGTATCACGATTGATGATCGTTGTTGGCAAATATTTTTGGTCAATCAAATGGACGTTAAACAATCCAATTGTTATATTTATCCTCATTTATATCCTATTGTATGTTATTGTATATTTGATCAGAATTTACTCTAATAATTACTTCTCGTTATATATATAATATATATATATATATATATATATATATATATATATATATATATATATATATATATATATATATATATATATATATATATATATATATATATTGGAACGGGGATTCACTTATTAAGGGACTCAACTTTCAGCCGCTACGTCTTAGGTTCCAGCTCCACCTCACCTACTTTGGTTTGGACAACCGGGTAGTACTACTGTAGTAAACAAGAACACGGGTGGGGACAATCGAATGTATTTAAAACAAATTACAGTACTTGTTAATAAAACCTAACAATCAAATAGTAAATATGTAATTTGCAAAATGTCCATCCGTTGTCTCAAAACGACTCAGACTTCATTGTTCTTTTATTTTCATGTAAATTGTATTCTGTTTCCATTCTTTACTGTTCGATCCTCTTGCCTCTCTGCTGCCAGACCTGTTCATGACCAACATCATATACTACTTATGTCAATATAAGTAGCACACACCACACCACTAGCCCTTACATTTAAAGTGTTGCTCAAAGCCATGTACACGAGTCTATGCTTTTATGGCTATGAAATACTATGAGAACTGAATATTTTTATCGGACCCCGATATTCGACACTTACGGCGGTTTTAGGCTACATTCACACACACGCACCCAGAGCTCATCTTTACCCATTTTGTACTAGTAGCCAATGTTAGTGGACCAGTGTTATTGGTTAGTGAAGTATATACACCCAATTCGGAATCACTTTTGTTGACAATTTCATAATAGTTTTTTTTCTCTTATACATGCTAATTAATTTGTTTTTCAGTGTATAGTAGAGCGGTGGCTTAAGTTTGGTTAGGGTATCCTTTCAACATTCGACCAAGGCGTGCCCGATGTTCGAAATTCTTTCCACGTCCTTCAGCTTTCGGTGGGTTTGGAGTTGTGCTCAGGGTAGTATCGTCAGGCTTCGCACTATCACACACTAACAGCATAACTCAAATGCGAATACATAAACCTGTACTTAGCGAATGAGTTGCATTTAGACTTCTATTGGACAACGCATGAGTTTAGCTTAACGTTTTTAGTTTTCCGTAAACTTATATGTATATGTTTATATATAATTTCTTAAATTATGAATTAGCAGAGGCTTGGAACCTTTGGAAATAGACTTATAATTGTCATCTTTTTAATTCGTTAATTGAATATCTCTAATCTTTGTATCATAAAAATGAGTTTAAGATTGGTAAACGGTTTTCTTGATGGTATTAGTATGTTTTGCTCTGTAATCTTTAGCAAATGAGCGTTATCTCAATTTTAACCTCGTTCTTTCTTTAAAAAAACCTACTTATTTCAGCATGATCTTTCACTGAATTTCGAAGGTGATATCCCTTATCCTCCAGCTGCTATACGCTGTTCATATGATCGTTTACAAATGGATGCAGCTTATTTATTGGATAATGGAATTTATCTTATCATGTGGATTGGTCCAAATATTTCGTCAGAATGGATTCAAGCAGTGTTCAATGTTCAAAATCTTGAACATTTTGAATCAGAAAAAGTAAGACAAAATTAGATATTACAATTAAATATATTTTCTAAGAATTTTTATGTGTAACATGGTTTATTTTCATTTTAAAATTCTACTTAGAAAAATACGTACAGTTTACAGACTCACTATCCCCCATTTTTTTACTTCAATTTATATTAGATGTCCTAGAAATTGCACTTAATTTAACTTCTCAAAGAGTGATTTGTTACTAGAAGGTTCATTTAGAATATGGGGATTACATTCGTAAAACACTGACGAAATACAAGCATATTTAAAATGCGTTTCTCTCCTTTAAGTACAAAATATTGTTTCACAGTTGTTCTTAGTTATCACTTGAACTTGTTAGAGAATCAAGTGATTGGATACTCTGTCCATTTTATTTATCTTGGAAGTTTCATCTCCTTTGGGGTAGTTGTGTCTAACAAAATCTTGGCACCGATTTAGGAATTTCAGTTAGCCTTTGATAACTTATGATGTCGCTTGTGGCACAGGCGAGATGTCCATCTGCCAACTAAAGAGGAAGTATACAGTGCAGAGACTGACTCTGTATTTCTCTGTCACTGTAAAACATAGTCCATAAAAGTGGGAGACGTGCGTACGATGAGGGATTTTGATCTTAGGTGTTCTTGGCGCGTCGCTCGTGTTTGGCCGGACATATGAGTGTGCTGTGTTGAGACTAGTTGTTATAATGGAACAAGTACTGTTGAAGTTCGAACGGGTTTTTCGAATTATTGTCAACTATAATTTGGTTTTATAATTACTTAGCAACCAGATTATTATGTCTATGTCTTCCATTCACCATGAGCTTTCGGTTAACCCATTAACTACTGTTATACGAATTACCATTTCTAATTTGTTACCAGTGTGTATTACAGCTTCTCCTATTCAGAGCCACTTTTGGTTCGTTTAATTAGCATTATTTTTCATTTTATGGTGTGATGCTGTCCAATGTGTCTGTACATAAACCATGTCTGTTTGAAATATATACGTAGTAGAAGCTGTTTGGTGACTTTTGAACTCATGTTAGAGCATAGCGAGAAGCTTGAGAATAGTGGACGATTCAGAACTTAGCCTCATCGACTCAAGGTCAATGGCACTGGTCAGGTATGTAATTGGGGACACTAGTTTATAGAGGACATAGTAGACGTCGAAATAAGCAAAAATGAAAATTGGGACTCTGATTGGTGAAGGCTTCAAGACAGCACTAATAACGTTTTTAATCTTCATTATCTGAGGTGAGTATGACCACTTATCATGTGTGCGCAGTTACTGCCTATGTCGATATATAATCTCTGGTAGTGTAGAAGTGGGTTAAAATGATGCTTAGTGTGGCCTAAATAAAACTTAACATCAGTCCATAGAGTTGTTGATTATTGATCTTGACCGTATGGACCCATTTATATAGACCTATTATACTGGACGAAAATTCAGGTACGGCAAACCAACTTACTTTGTGTAACATCACACGGTGCCCTTGTAAAATATGGAAATCACTCATTAAATGCACCATTTGCATATCCTCTTTGAGTTGTCCTTTACACACTTAATCGTTCTTCTGATCATGTTATTACTCGGATTAATCTATTTTCCTTTCTCTTCTGCTATTCTGGGATTTGTCTTGATAATTTGTTGTACTAATGTGGTATGGCAGTTTGAACTGATATGTTTATGTGCCAGGTTCTTCACATTTCTTATGACTCACTGACAGGCTGTCCCAAATATCCTAAAAGATTTAATGCGTACCCCCTAAAGTTAACCTGTCCATGCCGTTCGTTGTCATTTAATCCACCTTGATTATAATAATCTCGACTTTTGTAAGAGTTAAAGGTTAAAATATCGATTTCCCAGTCGGATTGTTGTTGGATAAACTGGACAAAACTGAAAAAGTAGCGAGAAGTACTAAGTTTCTTGGTCTAAAAGTCCATTACATTTTTGTTGCAATCGTTTCATATATTGATAACCTTTTAATCCTCTACCTTCCTCGATAAGTTCTATAATTTCTGAATTGTTCTATCACATTCTTTATTTACCACTGCTTACAATCGTTGGGTCAAAATCTTGTTTTATATACGAGATTCTTCACTTATTTGTGAATCTAGTGTGGTTGTTAAATTGAACTTTGAGTCAAAAATTTGCTGTCATGAACAATTTCCAGCCAAAAAACGTTTTAATCATTGCACATTATCTATCAATCAGTACTCTATTCATAATTTAGTAATCTAAACGTTCAAAAAAAAGAAAGAAAACCTAGAAATCCTCCTACTCTATAACAATTGTTGAGTCGAAATTTATATCTTTCCACTCTCTTTATCATGTTCTGTGCCCGTAGGACTTGGAGAATCAACTTCTTATAGTAAACAAAATTTCGTCATATTTCTTATGGAACAGTGGTTTTCTAATAAATGATGCTAGGTCACTTAGTGAAGCTTTTCACTACTATTATATGTCCTAATGTTTTAAACTACTTATTCATTTATAAGTAATATAATATTTATGCTTACATTACGTTATGCTGTTTTTATAATCCTATAATTTAGATCTATGACTTGTGTAATTTTGATAACGAAATCTCACGTAATCTGTGTACATTGCTGAAAAAAGTTCGTAAAAATCGTTGGCATTATTCTCGGGTAAGTGGGAACTTTCTGTATGTCTAATTCTTGTTTGAATAAATAAATGACGTCCATTGCGAATGTATATATTATGTCTAGTTGACTACTCAAACCATAGTCAATGATCATATTAATTTATAAGTCTTAATGCAGGTTAATATTTCCCATTTTCAAGATATTCACTACTTTATATCATCTATAAAATTCTTTAATATGGTAGTCAGCTGCCTCTTCATAGTGTTATGGACAGATGATGTTCGTGAATTCAATCAATCAACAATATTATTGAGTAGATGAAGATGATCTGGTTATAAAGATAACAGGATAGACGTGGTCTATACATTTAAAAATACTAGATGACATGGCGTAAAGAAGTCGTAATGATGAAGCTGAACTTATTATATTATTTCTTTATCTTGTAAATATTAAATATCATTCTTAATTTTCCTTTCCTGAATTTCACTTGTTATGTTTTGAACTTAATTTCCCATGTTTTAGTCACGAATAAGATGAACTTAAATGTTTTTAAGGTATATAGATGATTGTTACTTCTATGTTTTCTAGGAAGGAAACTGTATACGCAGTACGTTTAAAAACCTGGGAGCATGACTGCAGTACCTGAACGATAATTGCTTGAAACTGGTCACATATAACTTATTTGTGAATAGTTCTTAATGTGTTAGTTTAGTATTTTAAAGGTTCTACCACTGACGATGGAAATCTATGGGAAAATATGAAATGTTCATGTTTTAGAAACTTAGATTTTCTAATATGAAGTTTAATTTTCTCATTGAATATCAAACAATTTTATATGCGCGTATTTATTAATTTGGTTAATAAAATGACTATATTAATAGGTAGTTAGTTGTATGATAGATATTCACTAACTAACTGAAATATCAGTTGACATGTGGAACCTTCATGTTTGTTTCTAAGTGTCGATGATTTTTAGATTAAAAATACTTCAACTTTTTCAATCAATATCAATTCATATATTCTCTCCCTCGAAATGCAAAATCTTGCTTCAGGATTGGGTTACATCGACACCCGAACTAGTGATAGGGAGTGAAGTAGTTGAGTGTGTCGACCGCTTCACTTATCTTGGAAGTCTCATCAGCCCTTGTGGTCTGGTATGTGACGAAATCTCAGCACGGATACAGAAGGCTCGACTAGCTTTTGTCAACTTGCGTCATTTATGGCGTATGCGAGATATCCGTCTATCAACCAAAGGACGTGTTTACTGCGCAGCAGTTCGTTCCGTCCTACTTTATGGCAGTGAAACATGGCCGGTAAGAGTAGAGGATATTCGTAGGTTACTAGTATTCGATCATAGGTGTCTTCGAAACATTGCTCGTATATCATGGGACCATCGAGTAAGTAACACAGTTGTTAGGAAACGGGTACTAGGTAAGGATGGCAAATCAATTGATAACGTGGTGAAACTTCATCAGTTGAGATGGCTGAAACACGTGTTACGTATGCCGAACGAGCGACTGCCTCGACGTGCGATGTTCAGTGGTATAGGGGTAGGTTGGAAGAAAGCTAGGGGCGGCCAGACCAAAACATGGCACAAGTCCATGAAGTCACTGACAAGTGGTCTGAGTCATGTTGGTAGGTGTAGACTACCTGGTTGGGGACTGCGAGATGATAGCAACCGATGATTAGAGACCCTGAATGACATGGCTCAAAATCGTTTGCAATGGCGCAAGTGCATCCACTCTTTGTGTTCTCCCAAATTCTAATCTTCTGAATTCTTCATGTCCCTTTTTTCCTCTTTCCAAATTTATTTCACTGAATTATACTCTTTAAATAACATCTCCAAACCCTAATCTTCCCGATCACTGCTTACACTCTTGCTACCTCTACCACTACGGGATTTGGATCGACAACTGCATCTCTGTGTTAAGGTGGTGTGGCAACTCGAACTGATGTACGTACGTACGAAGTCCTACGTTGTTACTGACTGACTGACTGACTGAATCTTCTACTTCACTTAATCTAATTTTAAGCCTTTGAATTTGGATCATACAACCTTTTTATGAAATTCTTAACTACATAAACTTGATAAAGATGTATCCGATTAAATTAAATTATATTAATAATACTAAAAATGATCTTGAAGCGCTAAGAATAGCAAATATTAAAATGAGGTCTTTTTGGTTTACAAATATTCCAAATGGTTTGATGAGATGATGATTCTCTGAGGCAATCATTTAAAAAAATAGCTTAAATAACGCCTTCTTTCCCTTCTAGCTATTTGTACGACAATAAAAGACTGTTATTTGTAGTGTATTAATTAGGGAGTTCATTTTTTGTTTTAAAAGGAAAATAGTAAAATTGCTTATAAAAATATATTTTCGATAATTGACATTATATTCAAGAAGTATTCAACGTGTATTCATATTAGTAGTGTACTTTCATTTCACATCATTTTTACTGCATAGTTCAACAAAATGCTTTTTTCATCGAGATCATGAATCGAAAGTACTAGAAGTTCATTTCGTCCTAGCATGGAACTCGTCGACAGTGCCCATACACGATCGTGCATACGGGACTTGAATCTCGGCTCTTCGATCTCATGTGCGAATGTGAGAGTTTTGCGAATATGTTTAAATTTTGTTATTGTTATGATACATGAACCTGGCCTTAGTTAAATCACAACTATTGGAAATCAGGAAGAAATATTACTAATTGATTTGAAGTTAAATATATATGTTATTAAATGGTAACCTTGTAATCTGATGATCAAACACAATGTTAAACCTGAAAGTCGTGGGTTCTGTCTTATGTATTGTCATGGGGATGGACAATACTGAGGGGGTCACATGTTAAAATATAAAACTGATATTTTTCAACGGTTGTTTAATTTGAGTCTGTGATATGGAATATTAAATCAAAACATTGTGTTTTGTGATTCGGAGTAATTTTCTGCTCTAAATTCAATATTACTACAATACTGTGCGGTATTGCCGTTAGGAATTCACGTGAGAACTAATAGCCATTGTTACCTTTTGTATTTTCATTGGTTAGGCACTTAAATTTAATTTAACTTTATCGTATCTCTCTACCAAAATTGTATGATGCATTATCAAATGTCAAATGTATGATTTTCTTTTGTTTTTTCTAAATGGTATATATCTCTTTTCTTTATTCTTCATGTACTGTTTGTTGTAGTTATTGGTTGTACGTCCTGGTGATAAAAGTGAACTATGGTTTCGACGTTTCATGGTCGAGGATCGATGCAGTGGTAATTCGATTTCATACACAGAATATCTATGTCATATTCATAAAGAAGTATCCAGTTTACTACATTGATATTATTGATGATAATATGAACACTATCGATATGGGTTAATACTTAGATTATTGGTCTAGTTTAATCCCTTACTTTGGTTTTGTTTATTCAAAACAAACACTCTCCTAGTATTTGCAGCATGAAATTTGTTGAATGCCTTACTCTTTTCTTATGTACTCTTGTTGTCGGAGAACAACTTTTTAGAAAAAATACCCATTTATATTTACATCAATCTCAATCTGGTATTTATTCTTGCGAATTCCTTTGAAATGTGTTATGACTAGTGCTTCCTTGAAATATTCCAACAATTTATGGCTTATATATTAGTGTAATGCATCATGTGTGTGTGTTTGTATGTTTATGACTACTATTCACAAACAATATAAACCATACTGCATATGAAGGTAGGTATATATTTTATGCGTGAAAATAAAGTAGCTAGACGGGGCCAAGTTATGAGCACATACACGGTGTTTGTATTTTCTTTGTTACTGTTCTCAGTTTGTCATCATCATCACATTGGTTTCACGGTTTGTTACTTTTTGCTTCATTTGCTTTCTTTCTTCATTAATTCAATATGATCCTATCATTTTAGATGAATAATAAAAAAGCAACCTATTTTGATTCTTTGAATTACATCAAGTAGTGTTATTTTGCTTTTATGCACACGGTAGCGCATATCCAGCTCAACCCTTGTTAACAAAAGATCATCACCATAACTATAAGCAATAGGGATTCATTCATCCTTTCTCTCCTTCTATGCCTTGTTCTCCATCTCCTTCTCCCTCTCTTTCCTTTTTGTTTTCTGTTCACTGTGGACAACGGCAATAAGTTTTGTGTTGCTTAAAATATACCAAAATAATACTTGCTTTTGTGATTGTGAGTAGTGGTGAATTTTATTGATTTCTTTTTACTCCTACTGAGAAGAATCCATTAGCTTACTTTTACCCTGCCCACACCTTATCCTGAAACTAATGTAATTTGTATTTTGAATTATAATGTTGTATTCTGGCTTTGTTTTGTTTTGTTTCGTTTATTAATTAGATACGTTGAGAATAGTGTATTTGTATGTTCTACTTTTGTTGTTGGTTGTAATTCTTTTGTGATAATAATTTTCTGACTTCTCTCTGTGTGTGTGTGTGTTTGTGGAGAATGACATTGACAAAATGATCTTTGAAAAGAGAACTATTGACTTATTGATAGCTTTGATTAAATTACATTAATGTTACATATTATTTCCCTGAATTGTTTTCTTTTTAAAAAGGTTTCTCGCATATTTTGAATTTATCATGAATTTTTCTTCTTATGTTCCAATCCTAAGGATTATCGGGATGTTTGCTTTAATTAATATACGTTTTTATGAATAACTTATTCAATATCTGATCTAATCTGATGTTATGCTTAATGATGAGATGAAGGTTTACGTATTAATAGGCTTTAGCATAAAATGGGAATTCACTTTTTTAACGTTAAGATTACAGATTGTTTTCAAATCACTAGATTAAAGTTTGTCAAGGAAGGGTTTAGAATGGATTAAATTTTTGAAAAGGAACAAATCAAAATAAGTGTTTTTAAAGAATCATTGATACTGGTACTCAATCAGTTAATCAACCGTAAGAAAGTGTCTGGAAAGGAAAGTGAATTAGTAGCGATCTTGGCTACCCGAGAGCGGGAGTCTAAGAAATATCTGCTTAAACCTGGTTATACACAGTATTTTAATGACTAGTTCTTGATATGTTAACTCCATGCTTTGAAAGCTTTACCATCGGAGATGGAAATCCGTAAAGTGAGACATGCTGTCCTTTGGTACGGACATTTCTAACCCCTCCCTTTCATTGTGTCGAGGCAGCATCGCTGTAGGTATTAGTTACCTGATTAAAAACACCTTATTTTCGTCTCGTCTCAGCGGTACTCCACCCTTGTCTCTATCTTAGCCGTTCTCTGATGAATCTGCCTAGCATGGTAGGATCTAAAGAAAAAAATGTTTTGGTCATTATAACTATTAGGTCGTTACAAGAGGAGTAGTCATTCCCGACGTTAAGTTAGCACATGCGAGCTGGCGAAAAGTGGTACTGTAAATACAAATACACATAGAGCAATGATAACATTCAACCATGAAGCTCCTAGTTAAGAAGTTCACCAAATCATATGCATCTTAGATATTTCAACTAGACGAACGAAAATTGATAATGTGTTTAAATCATGTCAGGTCAAACCTAATGAATAAAACTTTCATCACTATTCATGAAAAGGAAGTGGTAAGTTATGTATGAGTTGGTAGTTTTTGTAAGCTACTGTTATGAGTTATCTAAGAAGACTTATGGAACATATTGTATTTGATATGACTAGATATGTTATGACTTTATGTCCGGCTTTTTACCACGTGATTTATCCACCAATCAAAATACGACTTATACAATCTTAGCACTGTACCAAGCCAATGACGGTCGGCCGGTATGGGCAGCCTAGCATTCTTATTGGTCCTATGTCCGCCTAGCCCGTCCACTTGAGTCCAGAACACCAATATCAGCTTCTACTATGCGAATCATATGTTTCAGACATACTGCGTTTATATATCAAACAAACAGACCGGAACGCACCATAAAATAGGAAATAACATTTGTACACAATAAAGCCAAAAAGTGGCTGTGAACATGGGAGGCAGTAGTTAATAAACTGAACATAATTTAGGGACAGTAAATCGTATGATAATAAATTATAAGTCAAAATGAAGCTTATAATAAGAGGAATATAAATATACCTAATCTAATTATTGAATAATTATACAATAAGAATATTTATAGAATATTAGTCCATTAATAGTCTTCGGAAGTTACCCGTAATTTAATCTTCACTAGGATATAACAAGACAGACTGACAGTTAATATTAACGCCTACCACGTCAGCCGGCTTGATTGTGTGGGCCTACCTGAATATTTCAACAAGTTATCTGCTTTTGTTTGTATTAATGCATCATCATGTCTATTAAGCGAATGATCTATTCAGGCGCGTTTATAAGAATAGAGAAGAAACTTTTTATCTTCGGTTAGAAAATTGTTTTTGTTAGGTAGTTGGAGGTAGTTAGTAGGAAACCCTGCTTGACCTTGTTTTCAGGATGTGCCTGGAAACTGGAAAGAACTAATAGTCCTTGTGGTATTCAAGCGATATACTATTTTACATCCTGGGACGTTATCACTAAACTATTTAGACTAGGATTAGTCTCTTACACTCCTGAGATATTTATAACTGAGTGATGGCGGATTTCATGTTTGTTTAATCTTTCTAGAATTGGTTGGATTCTACCGATCAGGTAGTGAATCGACGTTACAACTATTTCAAAATCGACAATATGTACCCCTGTGCATTCTTATGTGAGAAACATCTAAATGATGTTTTATCAATCTAATTAATATCAAGCTCACCTTCAAATATACTTAAAAGTAGCTGGAAAACCCCATCTACTAAAAGTCAAGAAACATTACTGATAAAGAATGTATGGTAAATATTACTATATATATTATATAATGATGTTGTACATTTATAATTAATAACGACAACAGTAGGATTTATGTAAAAACTAAATTGTACTTATATGTATATGATACTAATGGACAATACAATAAAAAGCAATCATCACAACATCCAATATTATTGACAATAATAGTAGTAATAACCATCCTAATTGTATATAAGTTTAAAAAGGCGAATAGAATGACAAATGAATTATGGCTACCAATTAGGAAAATGCACAATTTTGTAGGCGTGCACTTATATAGATGTTTGTGTACGTCTGCATGTGTTTTCACACATTTACATAGTAAACTAACGTGATGCTTTTCGTCGCATCGGTTAACATATCTGACTAAAAATATCATCTTTGGTTCTCAACAATATGTATATACTACTTACAAAGTTGACTAATAATGATATTAATTAGTTGATTTTCATAAATATCATGTAAATGGTTGATATTGTTAGAGAAAAAATAGGTGATGATAATGACGATATTAATAATTGTGGAGCAGAATTACAATTATCCGTACCACAAATACATAGTTCTGAATTGCCACCTTCTGAAGGACGATCAACGCATTTAATTTCTTCTGGCTCAGCACCTTCGGTAGCACAGAAACGTTTCATCAATGTGACTTCTATAATAATAATAATGACAGAGTATTGGTATTATTATGATTGATCAATTGATTTTTAAGGACAAAGATTATTAACAAATGAAATGCGAAAACTAAGGGAAAATATTGAACTATATTCTGTTGGTCATTTACAATCGAAAATTGCTTAAACACATGAGTATAGATATTGATTAAATTATTTCCACATTAATGTGGATCACTTCCAATTTGAGCCTGAGAATTCCGTTACACCAGTTATGCCACTTACAAGTTGTAATTTTTAAAGAGTTGGAGTTTTATAAGTAGTATTCATAACAGGTTGGCCTTAGTTGTTGCACTAATGAATACCCGGGAGCAGTGGACTAACGTTCTCTTATAATATCCTGCTTCTCAATAGAACATCTATGAAGTACCGGAGATCGAATCCAAAACCTAAAAGTCTCACGGAAAACGATTAACTATTAAGATCACTGAGTTGGCGTCCAATGTTCAATTCGTGATATAATACAGCAGTCATGGGATACCATTGTTGAAAACTCGTCTAAACTTCATCAGTCATAATTCTCACTAAAACCTAAGGAACATTTTGAAGTAATCTACCAATGAGCTGATTGCTATACCTCATTCAAGACATTCTTCCTAACACCCCTCTTATTAAGTCTAAATGTTTATCCAGTAAGTTATCTTGGTAGAATTACATTTTTACTTATGTATTAAATGAAATGGAACAACACTTTCATAATCTTTAGAACAGCTGATATTTTAATTGTTGTTAGCAAGTATATTTTTAAACTGGAACAAATAGGCGTTAGCGGGACATAGAATGGATTAAAGCATGCTCAATGCACTATTGCTTTGGTGCACGCTGATTGGCTAATTCTTATCCAATC